GGCAGTCACAAGTTCCTGTGACTTCATCTTTTGTACTCTTGCAAGCACCCACTCCACTGAGCACAAACTGGTGATGTTTCTGGACTCAGTAGCTTCTCCAGTGCTTTTTGCAAGTGCAGCAACTGTGAAGGGAAGAGGAAATGTTGCACCATGCTGTGGGTGGTACAGTGAGGTCAGAGCTGCTGTCTCTTCTTCGTCAGTACCTGCCACTCTGGCATTCTGGCACAGCCTCTCCATTCATAACTGAATGCCCCAGTCAGGTTCCCAAGGCCAAATCAGGAATTCAATGATTTAAGAAGTTCCTCTGGATGGGAGAATCTGCCTGGAGTGGAGCTGCTCTCCTGCCCCTGGCTGTCCTGCTGGGATGGCTCACTGACACCAGCAACACAGAGCTCTCAACAGCCTTGTACATCCAACACCTCACCAGGACTCTTGCACACCTGGATGTACTTTTGGCTCAGAGGGGAGCACTGTGAAATGTGCTCAGCAATTGGAAAAACACAGTCAGTGAAAAAGCAGTGCAAGCTGAACAGTGATTATTTTATCCAAGGGGAAGTCAACACTTTGCTTTCCAAGGAAGTTTGACACAAATGATGAAGGATCTAGAAACTCAAACTAGAACAGCACTGGAAAACGCAAAGGGTCTGTATCTACTTGTTGAGGACTCCCCATGTGTGGAGGCAGGAGGCTTGACTCCATGTTTCTCAGAAGGCTGGTTTATTATCTTATGATATATATTGTATTAAAATACTACATTAAAACTATACTAAAAGAACAGAGAGAAAATATTATCAGAAGGCTACAAAGAACAAGAATAGAATAGAATGAATAACAAAATCTTGTGACTGCTCACAGCCTCGACACAGGTGGCTGTGATTGGTCACTAATTGAAAACAATCCACATGGACCAATGGAAGATGCACCTGTTGCATTCCACAGCAGCAGATAGTTATTGTTTACATTTCTTTCCTGAGGCCCTCAGCTCCTCAGGAGGGGAAAATCTCAGCAAAAGGATTTTTCATAAAATATCATAACTACATCTACTGGTTACAGGATCAAAGGACCTGTGCACCACTACCAGGGAGCCAGGCAGAGGCTGTGCCCTGAGCTGTCATGAAGCACATTTTCTGGATCACACAGAGAATGAAACATGGGTGGGAGGAATTAGGGACAGCACAGGCTCTGTGGTGCTGGCTCTACTTGTTTGCTTTCCCAAGCTCCAGTGTGCTCAATCCTCACCACACTTATAAAGACCCTGAGTCCTGCAGAGCAGCAGTTGATCCTGAAGGAATCAAAGAAGGAGAAAACTTCTTTATCAGACACAGACCAAAACTAGTTCCACTGTCCTGATTCCAAAGTCCCTGACAACGGTGTTGAAGAACAAAAATGAGAGACTGGGATGTTTCATGTGCAGAGGTAGCAAGTCCTCTCTGGGGAGTTTGAGAGAGGGATCCAGAAGATGCCTCCTTCTGCTGGACCATCCTTACAGAGGCAGCTGATTCTTTGCACCAGGCCCCAGGCATGTGCAGGTGCACCATATGGGGTCTCAGTTTCCCAGGGCAGGTCTGCACTGGGAGCCAGCAGTGCTGCTCACCATGATATCAAGATCAAGCAAGGTGTCCCTAAGGAAAGGGCTCTGCCTTTGCAGTGTCCTCAGGAAGAAAGGTGTCTCTTGCAGCCCAGAGAAGCAGGGCCAGTGTAGACACTGCACTCTTCTCCATGTCCAAAATTTCACTCTGTGACCTGCTAAAAATCTGGAATTATAAGCAACACATTACCAGCACTTAGCAGGGATATGTCAATGCCAAGGAATCACAGCACTGCTGAAAAGAGAAACTGCTAAGGCCAACACAAATTCAGGTCAAAACCAAAGGGGATAAATACTTGCACGTGTGGGAGCTGAGCTGATCCTGGCCTCTGGCCACCTACCAAACTACTCCTCCGAGGAAGAAGGGGTGATACATCCCAAGCATGGCCAGAACATGGATCTGGCTCCTGGAGGGACTGGTGTGGGCCAGTCTCTTCTACTGTGCTGGGTCAGATGTGCAGATGGGGTCCATGGCTTTCAGGCACAACAACAATCAGGCTGGTCATCTCACACCTTTCCTCACATGTGGACAACAGCAATATCCACTGTGAGGCAACACAGTGCAATCTGGTTCTCTGCCATAGTATGATGTGAGCAACAAATACACCATCAGTCTGCGAGCTGGAAAGGGAAGGGACTGTGGAGGGGATGGAGAGCAGCATCAGGGGAAGAGAACATGGCCAGGAAGCAGAAGGACACAGCATGGAGGTTTGGATGAGAAGCGTGTTACCAGGAGGTGGGAGATAGGCAGCTCCAAGGTGCTCCAAGAGCTGCCAGCATCAGGGTGCAGCTGCTGTGCATCATGTGTTTGGCACCCTTTATTCCCATACTGCTGAGATCTGCTGGGATGAGGCTGGTTCCTCAATGCACCCAGAGGCTCCAGCTGTCCAGATATCCATCCTGGAGACCCTGGGACTGCTCCTGGTGGCATTCACACATTTGTCAAAGATCTGTGCTGTGGAAGACCCTGCCTCAGCCGTCGGTCTGCCACCCTGCCTGGGCATGTGAGAGCCTTCTCTTCAACCCATGGTGCGGGGCCAGTACTAAGCACAGCCTTCCCATACAAACATCTCCCCCCTTGCTCTTGTCCTCAGCTGACAGGTTCCTGTCACCTGGTGTTATGGGTTCGGGAGGAAGCCCATGCACAAAAAACTCAAGACAGTCAGAATAGCAAAGTAAGTCAATTTTATTTGTTGCATTAGCAATAAATACATACTGACCCCTGGATGTTGTAGATGCCACCAAGCAGGAGAAGGAGATAGAGCATGGCTCCTGAACAGGAGAGGCAGGAGGGCAGCACACCTTCAGGGTGTCCCCTGGATCAACACGGTGCGCATCATGTCATCCTCTCTCTCCACCCCAGGACCACACCCTGTATCTCCTCCTCAGGAGTGGCCAGTTTCAACATCATCTCACATGGGGTCAACACATGAGATAAGATCACAATGGCCCATGATCACACTTCCATGCCAACAACAGTTTTATTGTATTGTTGCCCTTTCAAAGGATAAATCCCACCAGGTGACCAACACATGGTTGCATTTCTGAAGGTTAGTCCTACCAACTGACAGTACATTCTTCTTCTACATTATTTTGTCAACATGCATAACTGAAGACCAAATATGTCAGGCCTTAGACCCATCTTCAGTCTCTTACACCCCTGGCCACCATAACCTGTCACATGCCTTTATCAGATCTTTGCTTTGGGTGTTTTGCAGACACCCAGATATATTCACACCACTGTCTACTCATGGTGACAAATGGTATGGTGGTGCCTGATCTGATACAGATCAGTAGGCCCACAGTGATGAAGGCCCGCCCCATCCCCCAGGGTGCATCCCTGTAGCCCTCCACCCCTGCTCTTTTTCTCCAGGCTATTGTCAGTAGCCTTGCAGTGGTCCCTGTGGCTGATGAAGGCAGAGGTGCTGGGTGACCTGAAGTCCTCCTGCACCCACTGCACACTGAGATCAGGGCAGTCATGGTGCTGACCAGGAGAGGGAACTGCTGGCATGAATCATGGTCACATTTGGGCTTGGAGGGGTCTGGGGCAGAGGCCTAGGGTCACTGTGCTGCTAGCAGTAAAGGCAGGACTAAACTTCTTGTCTTGCAAACTCACACCTTGAACAGACACTACCCCACCGTCCATTCACTTTGTACACACAGACACACACCTGCAGATCTCAGGCACAAAGCAGCAATTATAAACCGAAGTATTTTGAGGAAGCCTGCATATCTTGGCTTTATGCCCAGAAATGTTTGCTGTAACTTTAAGGTGGGTCAGGGGGCGGAGTGTGGGTGTGGGAGCCTTGGGAGCCGTGGGGTTTGTTTGAAGCTTCAGGCCGGGGTGTGCTGGGTGTCAAAATGACCGGAGTTACTTTGTTGTTTGGCTAGCTTGGTTTTTTTTGTTAGCTTAAGAACCAAGTTTCTTTCTTCCCCTTTCCCTGGCCTGGCGAGACTGTGGCAGGAATCCTTCAGCAGCTTTTTGGGTATTTTTTCCTGAACTGTTCTGCTTTGTTTTGGTCGGCGATCCGACAGTCGACAGGAGACCGTTGGCCGGGGGCTGTGGGAGCCGCGGGGACTGCACCGCTGGTTCCCCAGACCTCAGGGAAAGCGGAAGCAACAAGAGAAAGGATGCCAAAATCCACCAGCTTCATCTGCTAGGAGAAGGAGACCAATGCCAGCATTTGAACAGGTGGTGTGGTGGGAAATGTGGTTGAGCATGGCTGAAAGAACGAAGAGGGCTCTCTGGAGGTGCGCACTGGATGTGCTGGAGTGCACTGAGTTTGTTTGAATGGAGCAGTCGCTGCTGGGGCTCACTGGGCACTGCCGGGGAGGACCAGGCACTACTTATGAAGGCAATATCCCACTAAATAGGCCCTGCAGAAAAACAGGGAGCGATGCAGAACTGTCACAGCCCAGGGCTTTGCTGTAGCCCCAAGCAGGTGTTGCATGACCTGAGCCCTTTGCAGCCTATTTCGCTCCCACCTTGCAGCCCAAAGGTCCCCTAGAGGGAGAGAGGCCTCCCTCTTTGCCTTCTGGGGTCCCCACCCCATGGCTGAACTCTAGACTCACTGGGGGAACATCATGTCTGCCCCACACTGACTTCTGGGTTCATGTCCAGCCAGAGTCCTCACCTGCTTCACATCTACCTGCCTGGCTCTGCCCAGACAGTTTTGTCCCTAAAACATACTCCATTCCTGCCCCATTCAAAAGGCAGGCACCTTTGCTATAAAACTGCATAGTCAGATAAATTCTTTGGAAAAGCTTTGGTCCTACTAAGCATCACCTGCACTACTCAGAAGGAATCTATCCTCTCAAAACCCTGGTTGAAATGCCTCCACTGGGATCAGATCATGTCAGGGTTTGTCTATGTAGATGAAAAACCTGGTGCAGAGGAAACCTGGTGCACCACAAACCATGCCAAGAACATTTTATGAATTTATTTTCTCATTTAGTTTACATCAGCCTAACACCAAACACAGATGCACACTCATGAGTCCATGTTGTCCTAGTGTAGTCCTTGCTGCTGTCCTACTCAGGAGGAAGGGCAAAGGGGCAGTAGTGAGGACTGCTGAACTAGGATCAGCCTGCACTACACAAACAGGTTGTCCCCCAGCTCCAGAAAGCAGCTAAAAAGCACAAGCATCAGAGAGAGTAGCCAAGGAGTTTTTATTCATGAGGAAAACAAAGCTCACTTCTGCAGGTCTCTGTCTCTTCAGGCTGTCTCTGCACCCGCAGGTTTTCATTAAACTTTCTGATCTTAAGATCTTGATTCCTGCCACAATCACCCCTGTCTTTGAATAGTCTTCTGCTGAAGAGCATTTATCCATTAATGATCTTCTCACTGATGTATCCAGGCATGGTGTAGATCAGAAGAACCAGGAAGATTGTCAGAACAGTGACAACAAACAGCACAATTATGTATCTCTTGTACCGCTTCCAGATAAAAAACACAAAGGTCTTCATGGGATTCACAAACCAGTTGAAAGTTGTTTTGGGCCGACTAGAACAGGAAGAGAAGAATATATAAGAACATCACATTAGCCCTTCTGCTTTGGTGTCCTGCTTCCCTCATGAATCACCAGCTCTTCCTGCTGCTTCCAGGCCGGAGCAGCCCAGGGGCTACAGTAAACACACTGCCTGTGGAAACTCTACAGACAACAGGATGGAACTCTTTGGAACAGTGCCCCAGTGTCCCCAGAGCTGTCCTTCACCCTTGTACACAAGGGACCTCTTCACACAGACAGACCTGACCATTGTACAAGCAGTGTTATGGCACAGCTGCCTTGAGTATCTTCCTTAGATCAATCCTGGGCCAGGTGCTGCAGCCTCAAGTCCAGCTGTGGACTCATTTGAGCTCTAGGAAACCCTGGCAGTCCTGGTCCTGCAGACCCCAATGCCCAGGACCTCGGAGATTGCTCTTGGCTTCCAGACAAGCCAATACTCCCGGTTTCCATACAAACAACTGCTGAGAACACAGCACTCTCTGTTCAACCTAAAGGTGATAATACACATACTCACTTGGGCTTTTCCAGGGGTTCAGGCCCTTTTCGGCCCAAGCCAACAGGACTTTTGTCAGCCTCCTCCACAGTCATCAGTTGGAGCTCTGCTTCCACCTTACCCTGGAGGGACAATATGTCTGAGCCACAGTTGAATGTGTTGCTTAACATACCAGCCCGCTGACCACTCATCCTGCCACGACTGGATATTTTTCTCCCATTTCCGCTTACAGATGGCTCAGAGCTTTTTTCTCCATTGGCTAGAGTCTTACTTCACAGCCAGTGGAAACTGTGGCCTGGTAAGAAACTGTTTTGCAGACAAGGAACTGTATTTTAATGAACTCCCCAACTACATGATTTGTCTCTACCCTCCCACAATGGCACTGAGCAAAATTCACCCTTGGAAACACACAGTGGTCCAGTAGCAGGGGTATCAGGAGCAAGTCTGTCCCTGGTCAGTTGGCACCTGCCTGTCTTGGGCAGGCATAGACGCCAGGACAAGCTTCTGCTGCTGTCCTGAATCACTGATGGGGAGCCATATGCCTCTTGCTTTGGAGTAGGAGTGAGCAAGGAAAACATGATCTGAGATCTTTCAGTTGGAACACTAAATTCCTAAACAAATACAGCTCCCTTCATGGAGCTGAGCTCTATGGAAAGCTCAGAGGAATACATTAAGTCAGACACTCCTGCATGCCACAGCATCTGGTTCTTCAGGGTAGAAAAAGTGCTGGATCAGCAGTAGATGGAAGAAGTCTTCAGGGTCCTGTAGAAGCTGGGTCACTGCTGCCCTTGTAGACTGTGTGTGTGTAGGACAGGCTGCCATATCAAGGCAGAGGAAAAACACTGGCTGCACTCATCAGTCCCAGCTCCCCACCTTACCGTCAGGAAATACTTGTTCCCAGTGGGGTCTGTGAATTCCATGTCCTCTGGTCTGACTGAGCTGCTCCACTTCGTTTTCTTCTTTTTTTTGTACTCCCTTTCCTCTCGCTCGTCATCTTCTTGATCTCTGAGTTTGATGAAGGGCCACCAGCCCCTCATGCGCTTATTTCGGAAGATGGAGAATCGAGGTGTTGCATTCTCCTTGGCCATTTTGATGGTGCAATGCTCGGAGCTCTTGGCTGCCCGCACCATGTCATGCAGCTTCAGCTCGATGGAGCCTGCAGGCACAGGGAAGAGGAGACCACATGGTAAAACCTTGAGGTCAGTCCCACACGACATTTGGCTGTCTCTGCCACACTCCCAAGTCTCATGAGTAGGTCCCAGCTGCTGCAATGATCTAGCAGCACCCTGCAAATTTACAGATGGAGAACCTGAAATTCTGCATAAGAAATTACTATCTCAGGAGTTAGAAACCAAGAGGCAGAAGACCCAGGTCTCATCTCGTTTTTGATAAGAGCTGTTTGGTGAGTTCATATGGTGAGTAATTTTCACCCCTTTATCATGTCCCACCCTGCTCTCCTCACGTGAGCAAGCTGATCTTCCTCTCTAATTCCTGGAAATGTCAGTTAAACTTATAAAATGATAATGATTTAAAATTATAAGTGCTTTAAAGGTTTCAAGTTTATCATAGATCTGCAACAGACTCAGTTCATCTCCCTGTTTGGCCATATGCCTCTGTTCTGCTCAGAATGAGCTCCTGTCCCACTTTGGCACTGACCCCTTGCAACAAAACAATCTTACCACATCCTGGTCTGTACTGGTAAAAGCAGACAAGGGATATGAGTGTTCTCTGCTCATTTCTGAGTGAGACTGCATCTGGATACTGTGCCCAGTTTTGGACCCCCAATACAAGAAAGGTGTCAACTAAATAGTTTTTACTGGCTGAGATAGTAGGTGCCACAGCAAGGGGGGTGAGAGACACATATATGTTCAGTCCAGAGAAGAGAGGTCAAGAGGGTGATCTTACTGCATCCGTCACAGCCTAAAGGAAGCCACAGAGCAGATGGAGCTAGACTCTTCTAAAAAATTGATAATGAAACCACCTAAGGCAACAGACACAAAATGCTGCAAATAAAAAAACCTGAGAATTGTGAGAAAGGTGCAGCCAGGAAAAGGGTTCCAGAAGCATGCTATGAATCCATCCTTGGAGATAATCAAAACCTACCCAGAAAATGTCCTAAGCAACCTGACCTACAGTGCATCCAGCCTTCTTGGGGCAGGAGATTCCAATAAACCTTGCAGAAGCCCCTCACTATCTAGAAGTTCCTGAGATTATACATGCCAGAAATCATTGGAATTGTTAATACTTTTTTCAGTGCCTCAGTTCTTCATGGCTGAACCACTGGAAGTGCCTCAAGCAGTAAAGCCTCTCAAATACACTATGAAAGGTTGAAGTATATGGAGAGTTTAAACATGCCCAGGAGATAGTAGGGGAAAGGGGCTGTTTTTTATTAGGGAGGTTAACATTTAAAGAAGGGAGGAACAGAGTGCTGTAAGCTTGGGGATGACAGCAGAAGTGGGAGAGAATCAGCAGTACTTGTGGTAGCATAATGTGTGGGGAAGCACCGCTATCTTGGTTTTGGCACCAGGCCTTGCTGCATGCTCAGTTCAGCAGATTTTATTACTGAGGCCCCAGCAATGGGATGCTGCAATTCAAGTGTCAATAGTCTCACAAAGGTTGTCTAGTCTCACACAGGTTGTCCCTGTTCCCACAACATAAGGTCCTGGGAAAAATGTTGTTAAGCCCAGACTTTGAGATCTGCATATCTAAAGAGCACAGAAAATAAGCAAATTTATTGGAAAGGTTGTGAGGAAGCAGAACCTGGAAGTCCTGTGGTGTGACAGGCCCTAAAAAAATACACCAAGGATCTGGGACAAGCATGCAAGCATTACATGTCTGTGATGGGGAGGTGCCTATCTCCAGGCTTTGTCTGTAGCTCAGTTGTGAAAAAACAGCCCAGATGACTGCTGAGCTGAAGAGTTTGATTTGATGGTCCTAGTGTCCCTTCTCAGAGAGATGAACCCCAGGAAAATGCTCCAGCAAGGTAAGGAACAGGTCACCCCACTTCCAGCAGGTAACACCATACCTAGAAAGTCATTAGCTGAAATCCTGTCATAATCCCAGACCTGGAGGACCAGAACAGCTGGTTCCCGAAACTCTGATTCCTCCATGGAGAAGACAGAGTCCTTTTTCTTGTAGGTGATCTCCTTCTCAGTTGGGAGATAACTGAAGCGGAAGATGAACCTCCAGTTGAAATTGCCTTCCCCAGTCAAGGAGTTAAAGTGAACATCTGTCTCCTGCTTGTCATGGTCAAGACCTTTTATCCAGCTGCAGGAGAAATTCAGTTATCCTTTACCCTTGTCAGCCAGCCTCAGAGGCAGAGCAGAAGTATGAAAGCACTGAACACCATGGGGCAGCAGGAAAGGATCAAACCAGAGCAACACCTGAACAACATCTCTGGGGTTAGAGCAGCCCATGCAGAAGACTGGAGTAGGCACCTCACACCAGAGGTTCAGAGTAGGCAAGTGAGCATGTGGGTCAGGGCAGGGAGCAGGGCAGCCAGGTCCTGGCTTCCCATTCATTCCCACCAGACCTTTTCACATAGATGTCACTGGAAGGCTCTCCTGTTACTGGGTTGACATCATCAAGGATCACATTGTCCGTGTTCCAGATAATCACACGGAGCTCATAGCTGTGGGAAGAACACAGAGGTGAGACACATGCCCTTGTCCCTGGTGCATGGGAGGGCAGATCAAGCCCTAAGCACAATGCCAGAGCAGCAGGACTTGAAAATTCCCAGCCGTGTGGTTCCTCCTGCTCCTCCCACCAAGCAGAGCCCAGCAGTCTCACTGCCAAGCATAAAACTCTTTCTGGACACTATAACCCTACAAGACAAACACCCACAGTCAATACAGGTAGCTTTTGCAAATCAAATCCCTGTTTCATGGGAAATCCACCCTGCTCAACTAAGCCACAGAAGCACAGAAAAGCTTAGGCAGGAAGGGATCTCTGCAGTCTCTGCTCCATGCTCTTACTCTAGCTTCATAGGTTGATTGTGCAGGGCCTTGTCTGCATCAGTTTTTAATATCACCAGGGATGGACATCCCAGCACATCTGAGTCAATCTGTCCCTGTTCCAGGGTAGCTTCACTCTCACTGGGAAAATGTTTTCCCTATAGTCAGTTAGAGTTTCCCTTGCTGCAATTCATGTTCATTATCTCTTGTCCTTTCAGGTGCACATCTGAGAATAATCTGGACCCTTCATCTCAAAAGTACAATTTGATCCTTGAAAACAGCAGATTTCCTCCTTCAACTGCATTTCTTCAGATTCCCAAGGACATCTGTCCACTAGCCAGAAAAGAGTTTGATGAGTAGCTCTGACCTGGGTTTCTATTACCTTTATGTCCACCCTAGAGACATTGACCTGCCCTTCCCCAAACCTTTGTGCAGCTGAAGCCCTTATGGCCCAACATGATACACTCAAGAGAACATCCTGTGGTCAGAGCTGGAGGAAAGAGGCCACACTAGCACTGACCCTCAGCCTGTGCCCTGTGGCACATCCCACCAGCCACGGCAAGGGACATTGACCCTCCGTGCAGCCCTCCAGCCCCAGGCCTACCCCCACAGGTGCTACCTGACAGGCAGTCGTGGTTTGATGTTGACGGGTGGTGGTGCAGGGACATCATTTGGAAACATGTCAATCCACATGTGCAAGGAGCCCTGATGAGAGAAGACAGCAAAGACACTTCAAGAGACAGACCACTCTCCAGCTCTTCAAGGAGCAAGGGCTTGATCCTGCAAGGACAGTTCTCATCAGAAAGCCCTGCTTGGTTCTCTCCATTCCCAGCACTTGAGAGTGACATGAGATTCAATTTTATACAGGGAAAAAAAATAAGGCTATGAAAGATTTCTTATTTCTGCTCCTAAGGAAAACCACTTCACCTACACTGAATCCATTCCAAACATGTCCCTCTGTCTTAATAAGGAGCATATGGTAATGCAATGCTTAAGCAAAGCCAACAAAAATAAGAAGTGATAGGTCTGACTTGTGCATTTACAATGCCAAACAAAGCCAGCATGACTGCAGAATTCTGCTTTGTTCAAACCTCCAGTACCCAAGGGAACAGGAGATTTCAGTGCAGGACATTAAAATGGTGAGTTCAGGTGACTGCATTGCGCAAAACTAAGGATGGAGAAGCCAAGGGAGGAGAACAAGGTTCTTGCAAAACAGCAGTGATAAGGGACAATGCAGAGGAGGCAGGTATAGGCAAGGATACCATCATCCATGGGGGTACATGGTGGCAAGGCTCAAAAGCAGAGCAGGTCTATTGCCATCCACACAGCATCCTCATCAGAGCCACTGCTAAATGGCCTATGGAGACAGGAAGGACTCTGGGTCACCAACACTGTGAACACAACATCAATGGACAGAATTTCCTTGAGGAGAGGGTGTTCAGAAGCATCCTGAGGCATCAGAGGGCTGGTGTGAGCAAAGGATAACCATGGCCAATGTCCTCACTTCATAGCTGGGCCAGCCATCCACAGACACAAATCCAGTCACCCACCCAGGAAGGGGACAAAGTGTAAGATTCACAGGAGACCAGACAGCTGGTTAGAAACCAGCTGTCCAGAAGGTCCTTCCCTGAAACAATGTTGAGGTTTGGCACGGAAGCGCATCTTACCTGCACAAGGCCAGGGTTCTCCGGGTTGTACAAAGACCGGGTTTCCACATGCTCTGGTACTAGCTTGTACCCATATCCTGGCATCTCTTCCCAGTGCTGCAGGATGTACAAAGCCTTATGTTCAACATCCAGCGACAAGTTCTCATCTGCCACTCCTCTCTTGTTCCTCACAGAAGCCTCTGCAGCAGGACACAGCCAGGGAGAAAATGAAGGCTTCTGGCCAGCAAGAGTCGTGTCAGGACATCAGTCATTAGCACAAGCAACAGGAGATGATGGACTGGGCAAACAAACACCTCTCCAGAAAAACAAATGGGGAGAAGCAGGAGGGCAAATATGAAGGGGGTGAGTTCAATATGTTGCAGTGGTGACAGAAATGGCAGGCAGGAAGAAAACAAGCCAAGAGAAATGCAATGAAAAGGGCAAAACCAAATTTACTCTGGCCCTGGGAAAAAGATCTAAGGGACATTGAGAAGGACTTCATCCTCTGGGGCAGTTTAAGTCCCCACATCTCTTGTAGTGCCAACAGATCCATGGATGAATTTTTGCCAGAGAAGTGCTACTGGAAGGCATTACTTGCCAGTCTCAAGACATGCAGCTGTGCTCTCTGTTAATGAACACAATTAGTAATTGACTCCTTTGGTACAGTGAAGCCAAATGGCACTTCAGGACCAAATCTTTCTGGTGGGAGAGAAGCCAGAGCCAACAGGTGAGGGCATAATGACCCACTCACTCCTGGGTTTATGGAGCGCAACTGCCCCTTGGATATCAATCTGAGACCTAAACCATTTCAAGCAGCACTCAAGCACAACAGCGGTTCACAGGGCACCAGCTGCAGCTGTGTCAGAACCAGAGCCAGCTGTCAGGGAACACCAGGAGAGCACCTTGTTTCTCCCTCCCCAGCTATCCAGTGACCTGGAAAAAAGGAGGAATGGCTTCTGGAGACTGTTTGCCCTCTCCTGAGTAGGATTTCTTTTCCCTTCTTTGCAAAAGTCATAGAAACCACCAGAAAACTGAGGAACAGTTTCACTGAAACAAGGAGGAAATAAAGTTGTCCATACGTGTAGGTGTTCTCACTCTGGGCAGGTAAGGCCAGGGATCATCCTTCCTACAGGCTACATAGCACTGCCTTGCAGTACTCAGCCATCCACAAGTGAGCCACATCTGCTGTAGTCTTTCCTCAAGGTTAGATTCAATTGCACAGGTGTTGGCAGCAGCCTTTGCTAAGGGAAGATCTCCATCACCACTGGTAGAGACTGTGAAAGGTTGGTGTGTTCTTGGCCCCTGGCTCAGGGTTTGTAATGCCAGGTAGAAGGAAAGAAAACAGCAAATGAGAAGCAGAAGCTGCCCACAAGGTGGAGATCAACAGTAGAGAGGGGCAGTGTGGAAAGGTCATGTTCCCATAACAATCCCCCCATAACAGAATCACTCAAGGCACCTGAAGTCACTGGAAGCACAGAGCGTTCCTGGACAAAGTCAGCTAGAAACAGGAAAGAAGACTGAAAAAAACACTCCCTTCCCTCTCCCCCTCAAACCCAAAACACATCCAAAACAAAACAACACTTACAAGCAAAAAAACCCCAAAAACATTAAAGAAAACCAAACAAAAAGCCATCAACACAAAAAAACCCAAGCCAACCAACCAAAAAAACAAAACCCAAAAAAACTGCAAAACACATAACCTCAAGAAGGACTTCATTATCTTGCTGATAGTGAGCTTAAGCAGATGAAGGTACAGCTTTGTGATAGTGCCAGTCACCAGAATAAACTGGCATACAACAAACCTCCATGACCAGCACTGCTGTGAAAGTTGGGTTTACTTTGTTCCACCCACTGCCAGGGAAGCCACTTTGGTATCTAATGGCCTGGATCACATCTTCTCCCAGTGCAACAATGTCCACCGAAAAGAGGGCGCTGAACCAAGGATGCACCTCACAGTGACCCAAAAAACTGGGCCATGCAGGGCACAGTGGGGAAGTTAGCCTGGATACCTCAGGGAAGAGAGGATTGTGGGCTCCCAGACCACCCACCAACACATGCATTGCTGAGCACAGGCAGCTGCTTAAGGGACCAATTCAACAAGCCTTCTCTGTACCTTCAGGAAAAACCTCTGGAGGGACCTTGAATATTTTATTGTCCACTTTGATCTCTTCCCATCTGTACTCTGCAGCAGGGATTGAGTTTTTCTTGCATAAACTATCCAAGATCTGTGTGGGTTTAAAAGCATCTCGCCACATGTTGTAGCCATTTCTGCATGGAAAAAGAAAACATCAGGAACTTCTTCAGCTTAAGTTTCTTTTCTAGGCTGTGAAACAGCCTTCCTTCCCAAGCACAGGCTACATCACTGGAACCCTGCTCAGATTTCCACTGGGAAAACCCTGGGCTTAAAAAGGTTACAGAAAGTCTTAATGAATGAAAAGATAAACAAATTCTTTTCTGACAGAAAACAAGGTGGACTTGCACCCCACAGAACTATTAGCTTCTGAAGCAATGCTAGAAGCAGGAGCAATTTTAGATGCAATTCCTAAGTAAGAAAGAACTTTTAGCTGTGCTGGGTGCTCAACTCCATTCCCACAGCTAATTTTCCAATAGCAGGGTTGGAGAAGTTTGCAGAAATCTGGCCGAAGATCTGGAGAATCCGTATGGAAGGAGGTCAAAGGAAATCAGATGCCCTGAGTGTTGCTGCTTACAAAATGCTGCTAGAGAAACTGGTGTACTTTCTGAAAGAGGTCAGAGTCAAGCAAGCACTTTTCTCGCAGAATACCAATGTGTAAGGAATAAATAAGTTTTTTTACTATTTTATGCAAGGTATATTAGATTGCAGTAGGAATTAGAGTTATCACTGGAAGCTGGTAGGTGTCTATAGAGTTATCCATGTAATTTGTAGCGAATCTGTGGAGCACCTGCAAATGCATTTCTGTCTTGCAGAACAGGAGGAGCTCTGTTACCCACATGTAGCAGGTGAGAAGAATGTCTATGGTCCTCACATGTCAAATTGGTACCTACAAGTCATACTGCGCAGCCATTCCACAGTTGGCCCTGTGCTTGCTGTAGAATCGATTCTCCAAGTCAATCTTGGTCTCCCCAATCAGATCATCAGACCCAACCAAATCATGATCAAATATTGCCACAGTGAGTTCTGATTCCATGGGAAAGGAGACTGTCAGCTCCACAACTCTGGACAGAATCAAACAGGGAAAGCACAATTAGCAAAGAGGATGGAAATGAAACACAAGCTCTGCTTTGATAATCCTACACATTTAAGAACCGTATTTGACAACTTAAAGGATAAACTTTGGTTCTCTCTAAATGCAGTATGTGATATTTTCAGTGTGCATGTTCAAACAAAGAAATTACTTTTCCAGGATGTATGGCTTGGATAGAGGGCCTGGAGTTAGGGAATACTCAGCTTCCAATTTTAAATCAAGTCCTTGGGTGTGCTTGCCTCCTAACCCAAAGCATGATGGCTCCTGAGTTAGCTGGAGGCAAGAGACATGCCTAAGGGCTTTGTGTAAAAGCACAACATTCTCCATCAGAAAGGAACAGAAGACCTTACATGCTGAACCACATTTCAAGCCCCAGATTTGCACTGTCCTTATTAAACCCACTAGATGAAACCTTCCTGCATACTCTCCAAACACAGGATTGAGCTGCTTTGGGATGTATCGCTCCTTGGTGTCCTTCTGCTGTTGCCCCACAGTCACCACCACATAGGGGTCTGCTTTGCCATTGGGGTCTGCTGGAGACAGATTTGTAGCCTGGAATATATAAGAGATACTGCTGTACACAGCTGTGGAGGGCAACCTGCACAAGGAACACTGCACAGGCCTGACACCACCCAAGCCTGCTTGGTCAGGTCCCTCCAGCAACCACTCCAGCAGTGAAACAGCCACTTGATCCCACACAAATCGTCACTCTACAAGTCATTGATGTCTTCAGCTATGGACGCACCTACTTGCTCATGATCTCAATGCAGATGTGAGGAGCCAAGAAATGCCTATCTGCCCATCCTCAAGCTACAAATTATGGAAGACTCCATGGATAGGATGTAGGTGCCTTCCACTGGCAGAAGCTTCAAGCCAGCATCACATTTTTCACAAGCTCCAGTGCTCGCATTTACTGAGCAGAGAAGATCCACAGGGAGGGAAGAGACCACCAAGCATTACTGTCACCTCCCCCAGAGACTTACCTTAACAATGTAAACTCTTACAAGAACCTTCATGGGTCTGTTCCTTGGAATGCCCTGGGAGACTTTGGGCTCTGTAACAGCTTCCTCAGTGGGGTAGACATAGAAGGAGCCCTGCAGAAAACACTTTTCAAGGAACAGCTGGATATACATGGGAATATATCAGAAAGGACTGGAACAACCAACTTCACCTGCCAACTAGAAAATCAGAGCCATTTCCCCATGAAGACCACAGACACCCTGTGCCCATGGGGGACAGTCCTTTCCAAGGGTCAAATCATGTCCACATGGCCCAGGCAACCCCTGCTTGCAATTTAGGCTGCAGGCCGTTATACCACTGCCAATGTCAGATCTGAGCTGAGCACCTCTAGGCACTTTGGATTGACAAAGACAGAGGACACCAAACGTTTTCTAGGGGCAGCTACAACTTCTGTAGTTGATATTTCAGAGTCTTCAAGAGCTCCTGGATGGGAAGATGATGCCTCTTTTAAGTAAGTTTTCCTAACTTTAAAACCAGTGAAGCCTACTTATATAATACTTATATGTAGACTGAATAGACCCAGAGGCTGCAACCAGAATGAGTCCTTTATGCTTCATGCTTTCTCCTTGTTGCAGCTAAAAAATCTAAATTGGATGGATTTATGAGATAACAACAGTAGGACCACAGTACAATTGCTTCAAAAGGCACTAACGGTACCCTAGTCGTGTTGCAGCCCAAACTGCACACCCATGCACTCTGCAAGGTTTTGCTGGTGTTGGCTTGCTCCAAAATACAGGTCCTTCTTCCACAAGCAGCACAAATGTCATCCTAATGAAACAGTACCTTGTACTTCCCCACATAATGTTCATCCTCATTTCCATCTTCATCTTCATTTGCTTTGCCACGATGAAGGGGGAAAATACACAACCAGTCTTCAAAATTACCAAACTCATGTTCCAGCTCAGAGTTGTAGATCTGAAATAAGTAGAAAGTAATTTGGGGGCTTTTCTTGCCATCTCAAAGGGAAGGGGAGTCAGAAAGACCATTCTTTCTCTGTTTCAATCATTCCACCTAGTCCTACCTTACTTCTGTATTACTCAGTGCAGGGTGTTAATGATTTTCCTGCATGTCCCTACGGCCAGCCTTAGATGTGGATGCACATCTCAGTTTGGCTCCAAGGTCTTACTAGCTGCATCAAAGTCCAGCAATGGTGGGGCCTCAGCACACACTGCAGGTTCTCCTCCCAGCATAACTTCCACTGCAGTGAGGAAGACATGGACAAAGGGCCAGGGCTGAAAGTGACTAGGTCACCCCAATTATCACCTGAAGGGTGGCAATGAGCTTCCTCTTGGGTTGAGCAGGTTCAGCTTCAATCACTGCCTCATCCTCTGTTTCCATGTCAATGGAAGGTGCATTTAAATTCCCTCCATCTAGAAATGATGATAAGATATTAGGAAACACTCGGATTTCACCCATCATGTCAAGTGTCTCTTTATGAAATCGCCCCAACCACAGTTTCTGCTTCCACCCAGGGCTTTGGCCTGTGTCACAGCAACTGGAGCTATTGCTGTTTGTAACAGGTGTCCTTCCAGCATCTCCAGTTTCCCAGCACAGCATGGTTGGATGGGTGGGCTGACAAAAATTGGCACAGATCTACCTGCCTGTTTGCCTGCATGGCCACCATTCAGACAGGAAATGGGCAGACACCAAATGAAGGAAGGTGGTTGGGTGAGCTCACAGGTGCTGTCAGGGAAGGCACAGAGGAGAGCCCACCCTCCTCTTTGGATGAGTGCTTATTTGCTGGCCTGTTGGTTTGGGTGGCTAATGTAAGCATCACTGCCACTTTTGGCACAGCCAGCTGGAAGAGACCATGTCTAGACCTTTCTCAGGGGCACCACCAAACCAAGGACAGAGTGGGTGTGTGCTTGTCCCATTTCCCAAGGCTCCAGATCCCTCAAGCGCTAATGGTACCCTCAAAGTCTCTCCTTAAATTGTGATGATTTACATCATTTTTATACTTTGCACTTTCCCAGGTCAGAGCCATATGAGTCACTGCTTACACCTCTGTAAACCTGAACCTACAGCTGGAACACTGTTCTCAGATCATAAAAAGACTGTTATTACTGTCCATTACCTCTGGTACCTCCTTTACCTGATTCACCTGTACCCCACATGAGTACCCCATAAGCAGAGTGATGCCCAGATCATGGACAGTTTTTCCTGTCCATTGTCCTCTCTCCATCCTACCACTGCTTCCAGGTCTCACCTAGACAATCCCATGATCCCTGCAGATGATTTTTCTGCATTTTTCTCACACAGGAAAGCACTTGTTTTAACACCATTTTACAAAACTTCACTGTTATCCAGGACTTTTCTGACTATTTTCCAAAATTTTTTCAGGAAGGTTTGATGTTTTCAACTTTAAATAGCCTGATAGCCTGAGAGACCATGTCAATGTCTTCTACCTCTCTGCTCACTTTTATGTGGTTGTTGCTGAATGTTGCAAGGGTGTTGTCTGCACAGACGCCATTCTCACGAGCCCAGTACCCTCTGGGATGGTATAAGATCTTGGTTCTCCCCACTAAAGAGTGAGGTATTGCTAGAGAACTCACCTGCATCATTCAGGTCATCATTCTCAGCATCTTCCTCATCACTGCATGCCTGAAACACACACAGTCACCTCATATCCCTGACAGAAAAGGCTTCTCCTTCCAAGCACAGAACACTGACATTTTCCAGCAGAGTAAGTAAGACATAGCGTGAAATCATTCTGCAATAACATCATTGCAGGATGGCATCCAACGAGTGTCTTAATGACTTTTTTCTTCTCCCCAGATCCTCCTTAGGATCTAGCTTCTTTTGATTGAAATTTAAGTTGACAGTGCAAGGAAGGAAATTTGGAGCAGATCTGCTCCCATAACACGTACTAGAACATAACCAGGACAGAGTAAGCAACGTGAAAGTCCCTGTTAAAGTCAGCAACATCACATTTTCAGGAGCCCCTCAATATAAGCTGCCTCATTCTCACACCACTTGAGCATCGAGCCTCAGGGATGTTTCAATACCCACCTCCTGCTGAAATCAGCCCACCTGGTAGATGCTGGATAATTAACTACCTTAAATATGCTTGATACACTAAAGTTCACATCTTCCTGTAGATCCATGCCAGGAGAGCTCCTGTGACACTCAGTATGGTTGAAAATATCTTCCTCAGACCAGTGCAGCCTATTTTCCCTTCTGTTGGCAGCTATCACAAAACATTACCTGGTTATACAGCTCTTTCAGGGATGCATAATACTTGGACCACCAATCTAGTTCTTCCAGTTCTGGTTTTTCCTCTTCATATTCATCTTCCTTCTTTACAAGCTTATTGATAGGAATTTTCTTCAAAGGAGGCTTGAAAGAAAAGAGAAGAGGGTTCAGAAGGAAGAACTGACCACCCAGGACACTCATGCACCCTCCTCCAGTGCCCTGGGACCCTCTGACCCTCAGTATTCAGGCAGAGCACAGGAGGTGCAAAGCTGCCCATGGCTCCAGCTTTATCCTTTGCTACAAAAGAAGCCATTCTCAAGGCACAGGGCAGGCCTCCTTAATGTCCTTGTGCCAAAGCCCCACCACATAGCACTGCCAATGAGCAGGCAGGAGAGAGGAGTGTTTCAGTCCAGAAAAAGACCTGGTGGATGAAACCTAACACTGAATTTCTGAAATTTTTGGTGGTTTTGTTTGTAATCTACAGTTTGGCTTTACAAACTTCAAAATTTGTTGGGCCCAACACATCGCTCACCTTCGCAAAACTAAGGGGGTGAGTGCTGGAACCTGGGTCTCCAGCTGCCAGTCCAATGTTTACCACAGTCTGAGATGGAAGACGGTGAGATGAGACATTGCAAGCTGAGATGGAAATAAAGAACTTAATGTTTCCATTCATTTATTTCTGCCCACTACTTCTTACTTTCAGCCACAGGAAAATCCTCCCTGTTAAAACACTAGTCTGATTGATTTCAAAGCTTTTTAAAGCAGACCCTGCAAAAATTCTGCTGGAAATCCAACTACAATACTGAGATTGGCCACCATTGTCAAGATGCTTGTTGCTGACCCCCAGGAATTCAGAATTATGAGATATATCTTCCCTACTCAGAAATAGCCACAGATGGATCAATCTTTCGCTTCTTCTTCATGCTTCCAGATCAGGAGTGCTGGCTATTGCTATCATTTAGCTAAGCTATTACCCAATGAACAGACTTTGACCTGACAACGTGAGAGAACTGAAAGTTTTTCAGTCCTTGGTCCTAGTGGACCAGCTCCCTAAAGATGAAGGTCTCATTGAGCAAATTCTTCCCTGTGAGGGTGGTGAGGCTCTGGCACAGGTTCCCCAGAGAAGCTGTGGCTGACCCATTCCTGGAAATGTTCAAGGCCAAGTTGGACAGGGCTTGGAGCAATCTGGTCTAGTGGAAAGTGTCCCTGATCATGGCAGAAGGTGGAACAAGATGATCTTTAAGCTCCCTTCCAATCCAAACCATTCTGTGATTCTATGACCTTGTGATTGCAGGGAGAGGATTCTGCTGCTTGGCTAAGAGAAAGTGGAAGAGCCAGGGATTTTTGCCACTGGCAAAACCTGCCTGTTGTCTCTGTAAGAACCTCTCCAAGTAGCTTACCTTTGGGCACATCCTCTGGTTCCTCCTCCAACTCTCTGGGAGAGAATTTCATCACATCGGACACGACATGGCTACCCACAAGCACAGTGTGCCCAAACGCACGCTTTTCCACCACAAAGATGCTGAGGGGAGGGTGCAGGTATGCCTGCTCTGGGAGCTCCTGCAAAAGAATTATGCATGGGGCTCACAGGAGTAAAGGTGATCAACCTGTGTTGAGCTATGAAACTATGACAGCCCCATCACATAAGGAGAAGCTTGCTGGCACCTTGCAGCTATGCCTAAAAAATCAAAGCCTTGCAGTGATAGGCCATGGCTAAGATGGCCCTTCGCGGGCAATTTCACAGAGGTTTTGTTCTGCAGCTGAACCATGTGGTCATGGGAGAGCAAAATCCTGGAAACAGTTTCCCTCCTTCTATGTTGTCCCATGCAGGGAGGTGATGCAAGGTAGCCATGGTGTACCCTGGCATGGCAGAATCCACCTTCCTACTCACCACATCCATGTATTTGACCAGCTCAGTAAAGTTGGGGTTCTCTTTGTAGGACACAATCACCTCTGACTCCACCTTCTTGCCAGCACATTCAATGATCACCTGAGGCTCATCCACCTCAAAAAAGTTCACTCTCTTCAGGTCCCTCAGGCCCCAGAACAGGATCTGAAGAACAACATGAAGCTGCTGTCCAAGACATGCCAGCCATGGCACTGCCCATGCTACTACCCCCCACCCACAGGACACAGTCCCCAGAAGAGGCACAGGCCTGCTCTCTCAGCTCAGCTGCCCAGCAGCTTTGCTTGTTGAACTACTCAGGTGGTTTCCCCCTCAGGTCAAGCACCTCCATTTCTGGCATCTGCTCAGGCCTCACAGGCACATTTGACCATCAAACTGGACTCCCTCGCCAAGCCCTGCCCTCCACCCAGGGGCAGCTTGAAGGGAAAGCCAGTGCAGCAGAAGGTGGCACACCTCTATGCGAAACTCCTTCAGTACTGGGCGGATGCCCTCAGGGATGATGAACCGTCCAGCACGGGGGTCTTCCAGGTAATCGGGCTCCTTGGGCTCCACATCCTCAGGCACTGATGGCTGAACAGGTGGAACCAGGATACAGTAGGTGATGAAAATCACTTCTATTCTATGCCATGCCAAGCCCCCTCTCTTCCACCTTCTAGTTCTGTGCTCACAGGCTGTCCCTGCAGCCTACTCTCATTGGAAAGCCAGATATGGCCTCCAACTTGGAATTCTGGTGGGCCCCATGCAACCAGCTTCTCACCCATATAGCTCTCCTCAGTGAGCTAGCAACCATGTGCAGCTTTCTACAAGCCTGTTACCTCCAAATAGCCACTGTAATCGAGCTCGATCAGCTCAAAAGTTGCAATGAGCTCTCCTGCTGCTTTGCTGCCTCTGTAGAAATCAAAGAACTGCAGGGCAGGTTTGGTGTATGACTCATCAACCAGCTTCACCTGTGGGACAGCAAAGGCCTGCCCGAGGAACTCAGGGGAGCCCTGCAGGAAAGAAGGGAATGACTCAAATCATCCCTGTGGTATCTTACCACCTCAAAGACCACCACTAATTCCAGCCAGTCTAGGACAGTACAAGACTACTCTTCCACCAATGTTATCCTCTGCTTTGATTTTCTCTGCTCCATCCAGACCTAGGAACAGATAAAGGCATGTTTACAGCAGCTCCGCTTAACTCCTGGTTCATCTCCATGCAGAACTTGGCAAACAGCCTGCAACCATGCAGCAGAGGACATCAAAGCTTGATCAGGTTTTTCAGAGTCTCTTCCAGACAGGGTTTGAGTATCTCCAAGAATGGATACATTACAAGCTCTCTGAGCTACAGCATGCATTCTACCTCTGTGTAAAAATTGCTTTTTTATATCAAGATGGATTTTCTTCCTTGCCAGTTTGTGCTCATTACTTGCCATTAGACCCCTTGGTACCTTACATGAGCTTTTCCATCCTTTCCCACCAGGTAGCTGCAGACAGCAAAAAGACACATGTTGGGAAAGATGAAAGTTTGACAAGAAAGTCTCACAGATATATATGCTTAGCAGAAAGGTTTTTGAATGTAGAAGCTGAGGAAGGAATAGAGATGGAAGCAAGTTTTGATATAGAAGAAAAGAATTGCTAGCTAGTCTTACTGATTAACCAAGGAGACAAAGGGTATGTTAGTCAGAAGGGGTTTTTATGACTTAGAGCAAAGGATAAACCCACCTCAAACAAGAAGATGTTTTTACCAAGCAGAAAGATAGCACAGGCAAACAAGTCAGCAAATGTTGCAAGTAGAAAAAAGGTCTCAGAATTTTCCACTGCAAGAAAACTGAAAAACAACTTCTAGCTTAAACTCTAATGTACTAACTTCTAGTGATTGGAGAATAGTAACATGAATATGGTATTTATAGTAGTTATGATAAGCTATAGATAAAAGTTAAGGTATAGATTGGTTCTACTGTATTAAGATGCTCAGCAAAGAAAAGTATATAATGCATTGTAACCAAAACTAAGGGTCTCCAGGCCTGCCTGCAGATGCAGCTGACAGCTGTAGGCACAGGCTCTGTTGCCCACGACCCTGCTCTGCTCTAACGTCTTGGATATAATAAACTGCGTTTGGAAGAGCTGCCTGGAGTCCCGCATCTCTCATTTAGACTCTTACAGACACTGGCTTTCTCTCAACCTCTGTAGGCTGAATATACTCAGCTCTCCTCCTCTGTCCTGTGCTCCATCTTGGTGGCCTCCTCTGGACTCATCCCAATATGACAGGGTTTGTCTTGTACTGGAACCAGAGGAAAGCTGCTGAGTTACAAGTGGAGAACCTGGTGCAAGTTATGTCATTACCCTTAGGATAGCAAAGAGGCTCTAGGAGACAAAGAGGCTTTAGTGTGATTTTAGAGCACTAATAAAGAGAGAAAAGGGAAGACTGAGGAGGGATGATCAATGACATGTGGGGACACAGGGAAGGAATAGCCCTAAAAGCAATATCAATTCCCCCAGGATATGAGCCCTCTGCAATGTGAGCCTGCCAAGGAAGCAGGCATAATGTTTCTTCAAAAATAAGAGATCCTGGATCCAACAAGCACTCATCAGCCCCTGATGAGTTTAGAGTATCTCTGAGTCAGAAAGTCTCAATCTCAGCCACAGTCCCCACGACTCACTGTTACCAGTGGACCAGCATCAAGCTGTCATGGAAACCAAACAGAGCAGCGGCAGCACTCAGAGATCCTCTGCCTTCCCTTTTCCAGAGACAACAGAAGGAGGACAGCATGGCCATACTTACAAATTTATTGTGGCTGAAAAGGTTGATTGTAATGATGGGGGTCTCTGTTTTCAACTCTTCTTTCTTCCCGTCAATAATGAGCTGGTCAAACAAAAGTAGCTCATTCCACATAGGGCTCAGTGTCTCCTCCAGCATCTGCAGATGGAGACAGAAGGCGCAAGTATTCCACAGTCAGTGGAAATAAACCACATGCTGGAAAGTGAGGAACTCTGGGCTGATTTCCTCTCTCACACAGCCACGTGCAGCTGGTGGCAGAAGGGAAGTGGTAAAAGTGTGGGATTAGCACTCAAGATCAACTAGCACATGCCAATCAACCTTTAAGACTATGCTCAATGACTGTCAAATATTTCCTGAACATAATCACACTGCTCAGAGCATAGATACCTGAGTGCTTGGAGATACAAAAGTCCCAGGAGGACTTCCATATCACTGACCTTAAACATGTCAGTGAGGTCATGGTCATTTTTCTCTCCCCAGGTTCCCAAGATGACAGAGGCAAGAATTTAAGTGGTCTCACCCTGGTGGGCTGGCAATGAGTTGAAAACACCACTCTTGCAAATGGATTTGAAAGGCCATTATCATGTGCAGGGAGGATCCCTCGAGCCTGATACAGATGGGCTCGGAGCTGGAAATAGCTGAAATCTGGTAAGAAAAGGAGAGAGGAAGTCCCCAACAAAGTCCTGTATGAGGCCAAAAAAATGTCTGAAGGAGAAGGCCAACCAGACAGGAGTGGACACATTCTGTGACGAATAGCTACCACTTCTAGGGACTGTGGTTCTCAGGCCAGTACACCTCAAAAGGTTTGGCCAAGCCAGACAAGCTCAGTGGGCTCCCCAAACACCTCTGGGAAGTACATGATATGCAACTTGTGAAATGTGCAGTGTTCTGCTATGAGCATCTACTGCGGGGGAGCACCACTAAGCCTCATCAGAGGGGCAGAACTCATGCCATTGCAAATTTGGCAGCACATTCAATGCCTACAAAGCGCCCATCCTGTCTGCTGCTTTAGCTGTGAATGTGCAAATATATCCTGATGAGATCAAACTGGATGTGCCTATCTCAGTCAGGCCTTGGAGACAACCCTAGATCAGGTCTTAATTCTCAGACATACTACAATTCTCAGATAACAGTATGGCCTGAGGTGAAGGACTGTGGGGGGACAATGCACCACCACAGACACTAATCCATGATGGGACCTCTCAACTCCCTGCTCTCCTGTTTATGTGAAGAACTGTTATCTGCACTCACCATCCCTGCTGAGCAGGCTAGGAGGGCTGTATGCTGAGAACTGGGCTATCTCCTGCTCATTCTCGGAAAGGAACTCCTCAGGAAGCCCTGCCAAACAGGTTTTCACATATTTGGTTACCCCAAGCCACATGTAGATTTCCAGTTTGGCAAAGATCTCACCAGTGTGTAAGCCAGGGACCTGAAAGCACAGAAGGTTTTGCAGGTTTCACATCTCAGACCAACATGATCACCATCAGCTTGGGACTGACCAAAGAGCACAGGAGAAAGAGCACCACATCGTCAGAGGCAAAAGGCAGTGGTGGAGTTGAGAGCTGTGTTTCCTTGTGAACTCCAGGATTTCAGGAAGGAGAGCTGAAAGCAAGGAGGGGGAAACAGCATGAAGCAAGCAAGAGCACACTGTTTTGGTATAAACCCTACCTTCATAAAGAGAGTTTGGATCTTTGCACAGTCTTTGCCTTTCTCCTCTTCAACTACTGAGTAGAGGATGTTTTGTGCAGGAATTCTGGAGTACGCCACACGCCTGTTGTTGCTGAGCATCCAGATGAGTACATCAGGGAGAGTGCACTGGGGCTGGAGGGAGGGAAGGGAGGAACATCACGCAGATGAACAGCATGTGTAGTCCTCCTTATGCTGACATGGTGAAAGCTTCATCTCCCCACAGGAGGGACTGCTGAGTAATGGCAGTTTAGAGATCCAGAAATAAAGGACCTAACATTGGCCACATATTTCTGAAAGTCAGCCCTGCAATATGGCTCTGGAGGTGCTGTGGTTTAACTCTGGCTGGCAACTCAGCCCCATGCAGCCTGTCACTCACTGTCTGTTGGTGTAATGGGAAACATCACATGGGATGTTTGGATTCAAAACTTAAAAGTGAAAGAAGTAATGGATTGAGATAAAAACAGTTTAATAAGGAAAGAAAAACTTCACACACAAGCAAAGCAAACCAAATAATTCATTCTTCTCTTCCTGTGAACAGGCAGGTCTTCAACCATCCCCAGAACAGCAGAGCTGCATCACAGAAACAGTGACTTGGGAAGAAAAACATCATCATTACAATTGTATATCACTCTACCCTCACATAGCTAAAGATGTGAAAATTATTTGACTTTACTTGGTGAAAGATTTCCCCAAACTTCAACAGCATCTGTACACCTTATGTCAGCTAACATGGGGTTCTGGTTGACACTACAGCAACATGCTGATTTTTTTCAGTTACTTAAAACAATGAAACTCTGAATGTGAAGAGTCTCTGCTATGGATAAGAATCTTATTCCAATGCAAGTTTGAATCTGCAGGGTCAGCCCCTGGTGGAAGTGCGGGCAGCACAAGCAAGGCTGTTTTCCAAGGCAAAACTGTCTGCTGCAGACAAGGCCTTGGGCTGGTGGGGCAGAGAGGCCCAGGAGGCATGGAGCTGGCCCAGCTCAGCCTCCTACCCACTGCAAAATTGCTTGGACCCCTGCTCCACCACCAACAGCCCTGCAAAGCTGCCTGGCCTCATCCCTCATTAGAGCTATCACAGGAAACATGGTAACTTCCAGTAGCTGGAACTTGGAATTTTACATAGTGAGGGAAGACAGCAGAGGAAAAGCTTCAGCTCAGACTGGTGAGAGCCCCAGCAGCCAGCTCAGTATCCTCTCCTTGCCTACCCTCTCCAGCTCAGAACAAGGGTTCCCTAGTAGCCACTGTACCTCTTTAGCCACGGAGCGTATCTTTGCCAGGATCCTCCTTGTCTCCTTAACTTTCTCCTTGACATTGTCTCGGGTCAGGTGCCGCCTCACACGGAGCCCCTGCTTTGCATACAGGATCTGAACAGAAAGCACAACTGTCACACAACCACCCATGCCCCATTGCCACCCCACATGGGGGGTCTGCAGGGAGCCTATTGTGCTGACCAAGTCCATCTTGCCCCGTTGCACCCTGATCTCCACCATGGCTTGCTGCCCAGTTGCTGGGAGCAAACCTCCATGAACCTGTCACAAGCCATTTAGCAAAGGGTGCCATGAACTGGAGACTACAGCAACTCATCAGCATGGCCAATATCATCCGGTAACAGAAGTCCATGAGCTTTAAAATCATTTGGGGCAGAAACATGTCTAAGGAATTCCAGAAGCTGGTGGTCTAGGGCTCCAGATAGTGCCTGTGGGAGACCTTGGCCAAGGAGCAACTTGAGGCCACAGTAGTGTGGGATTATGAAGATGGAGGAAACTGCAAAATAGGGCTTGGCTTACACCACTATTAGTGCATATCAGAGAGAGTGTACACATATGAAGAGAAACTTTGGGATGAATCAAAACTAATAATGAAATCCAGAAGAAATTCAGGGTGTACACCCACTATAGACTGGCAAGGTGAGAAAACTCCTCTTTTAGGTGGGTTCTCTATTCCAAAGTCTCTCAGGCTTAGCAGTTGACCTTCACCATAGTTCACGTGACGACATGCAAGGAAGCAGAGGGAAAGGAACTGAGACCCAGATATGCCTAAATTTTATTTCCTGCTGCTGTCACTGCATTTTGGTCAGCCATTCAAAGCTTTGTAGTCTGACAGAGGCTATGACTCTACAGCTGTGGTGTGACAGGGGGTATGTAATTGTGCTCTCATTCAGCTAGCTAGTCTTGTGTGCCAGGTGATAAGTGCCTAAGTGTTTCCGTTTCTAAGGACAGACAGATGAATGGCTGTTGTAGACCTGCTGGATATGTACTCAGCCAAGGTGTGAATTTTCAGGAGTAGAGGATCTCAGTGAGCCACCACAAAACTGCCTGCACGAATATGGTGCACCAAAAGGCCTCCAGCAACCTACAGGGCAGCAATATGCACATGCTCAACTACATATGCCCCAGTGGAGGTGAAGCAAGGCATCAGGGCACAGCATCTGCACAAAAAAGGGGGCAGCCATGGCCAGACCCTGTCTTGTCTCTTTTCCCTGTGCCAGAAACTGTATTGCTCTGAGCAGAAGTTGGGAGATGCTGTAGTAAAAGCCTATGACTGATACAGTGAGTTTTAGCTCCAGGTTTCCTTCTTAGCATCAGTTCCTGCTGATCCTCCAGAAGTTTCCCCAGAGCAGGAATTGCACAGGCTCCCACCAAACACCACCAAACCCCACAACTTACAATGTTGCGCATCAGGTATTTTGTCCGACATCTGTCCAGGTTATTTGGATGAGCCATCGTTTTTCTCTCTGCACTGAGTGAATATTGCCTGCAATGAGAAAAGCAGCACAGATTCTGTATCCTCCGCATCCAGCATGTTAAGCACATCTTACAGCAGGGACACGAGCTCCAAATCCCTGGTACCAATCCAGATGTGTCAGGAGGCTCCATTTCTGCAATACCTTCTCTTCTACAAGCTTGTTGGTTCAGAAGGTACACTGGGGATTCTCAACACCTGAGGCTCCCTTTCTACTGTAGCACTGTGGACTGAAGTGCATTACGGTCCCCACAGGGTAGTCATGGGGATTGAAACAGTGGTCTTTTGACTGTGTGATTGAAAAGAGTGAAGGAAATATCCTTCACATTTAGGAAATATGTGACCCCAAGAACACTGAGGCTGTCATCTATGACCCATCTGATTCTTAGAACAGAAGTGGAGTCTCCTCTCCAAGCTTGAAGAGCTACAGAGAGGGTCCTTTTCCCAAGTCATCCTTATTTCATTCTGCACACCCACCTCAAAAGGAGAAGAGAGAAGGCTGCACACAGCTGATGCAGAACATGATATGACCTCCTAACCTGAAAACAAAAATCTTCAGGACATCAGGGAAATGCTAACCTGCATCCACCTACAAATTCCTCCAACACCTCTCTGAGCCGCTCTTCTGCTTTAGCCTTTGGTCTTCTCAAGAGCTTCTCCACGTCACCCAACCCCTGCTCCTGTAGCGAAATCACAATATTCACGAAGCTTGCACCTGGCTGAGGGGTCAGAGTAAAACCTTGCAAGAATGCATTTTTCACTAATGGCTTATACCTTTCTGCAGAGCTGGGATTCATGAGTGCTGCAGATCAGCACTCGGCTGCCTGGGACCCTACAGAGCTTGAGGATAACCTTAGCACTTGTTGTTACAACACCTTGTGTGTCAGTCCTTGAGCAACCACTAACACACACTGTGGCAAGCTCTACTTTCATATTTGCAAGCCAAAAGGAAAAGGCAAGGTCCTGGGGAGAGACTGCATCCCCTTCACAATAACCTGAGGCTGAGAGTCTGCTTGCCCAATCATCTCACACAGCTCAGGACTGGCAGCAGAGGAACTCGTTGTCACAGACATCATATCACATCACTCACTCCTCCAGGAACCACCACAAGCAGTTGCACAGTATGAGTCCATGTGGCCTACCCAACCGTGTCTAAAGGACAGTGTGACTAAGCCCTGTGAGAGACATGGACTTGCATGGGTGGTGAGGACAGCAAACACCTTGCACAGCAACTGCACATGCAACAAAGAAAGCACACCAGGAAGGAGCATGCCACAGACAAACACCCTGAACATGCTACCAGGCGCTCTGCCAGTTTGACAATCCGGTTGGAAATGCAGAGTCTCCAGGTGTGATCCTCCCAGTAGCTCCATACGAACACGCAGGGTTTTTCATGCGTCATGGGCAGGCAGCTGTATGACCTAAGGACAGCAGGCAGACAAGGTTATGGCTACTGCTACAGAAAGCATATGCCATATCATAACACATGCACTTGCACATCCAGCAAGGGAGCAGAGGCTGAACTCTGCCCTTTGCCATCCCAAACTAGCACACAGGGTTTCTAATAGAGACAGCAGTACGTGCTGAGATGAATGACAGGAGCATGGGATATTGCCAAGATTTCTCACTGCTATGGAACTAAGTAGTAGCAGGCACAGGCTGCACAACACAAAGACCAAGACATTGCCAGGCCTGTGGGACAATCTAGGCGATATTCCCAGAGCAAACATCAGAAGAGCTTGTGTATGTGTCTTGCCTGCTCAACATAAGACAGCATATGCCAAGAGTACTCCTCTCCTTCCTCACTGGAAAAAGCCCGTAGGACACTGCTTGTGAAGCAGAAAAGAGATGGCTGTTATTGACAGGTCTCAGTTTCCTTGGGACCCCATCCTTGGCCATCTGCAAACATCAAGCAGACACCATAGGGCTCATAGAGCTAGTAGAAAATCCCCGCCAGCTAGGCCATGGCAAGCTGCAGGGCTGAAAGGAAGAGAAACCTATGATGCATTGCTGAGCAGACCTCTAATAATATCTGGAACAATCAATGTGGGAAGCTGTAACAGCTCCAAGAAAGGTGGAATAGAAAGATATAGAAGACTTACTTGTCATATTCCATGGGCTCCGGTCTCTGACTCTTTGTAACTGATTTGTTCAGTGCTGCTAAATCTGGAGTCAGGATTTCAGCATCCAGCTCACCATCTGAACCAGCATCCAATAAAGGCTGCCTTTCTTCTTTCACGTCTCTCTTTTCCGCTTTTTGCCATCCTTTGGTCACAACCTCTTCAGATTTGCCATAATTTCCTTGAAGGTGAGCATTAAATTATAAACAAGTAAGGGAGATCACTCAGGTTTTTTTAGAAAAGACATTTTTTAGCTGGCAATACCAGACTCTTGGCAGTCTTCCTACCAAGAGAAACAGATGCATTTACTGCTTTGGGAACTAGTAGTTGTGTCCAACCATTGGCGCATCACATGGACAACCAGGAGGTCCAAGAGGGAGCTGAGCAATTGCAAAGAGGTCCTTGTGTATGCCTTCTTCAGTTCTGTCAGCTCCACCAAGTGCGTGTTGATTACCATCTACATCCCTACACTGGGGCCAGCATCAGCTCCTCAAGTAGTATTTCAGCATCAAGCATCTTCACCCATCCAGCTTAGCAGGTGGGGGCTTTGACACACTCTCAGGCCATTATTTTCCCATCACTTGTTGTCAGATCCCCTCAGTGCCACATGGCCAACCCCAGTATCCCAGTTTTCCCTCCTTTTTTTCCCTTTCTTGCTACCAAATCCTTTTACTTCTTTGTACCCCTACTTACTAGAAGAGTTTTCCCAAACTTTCCCAAAACAGGTATTTCACACAAATGGTGCAAATCTCCAGTTCCATAGAAAAGATTCAGGATTTTAGTAAAGCACTGTGCACACTCCCTGGACTCATTCCTCATCTTTCCCACCTTCCCGAGCTGACTTGACAGGGCATTATGGAGAACTGACTTGGCTGTCAGAGGGAGATTCACACTGTTCCCATAGTTTCTGGACATGGGGCCCTGGGGAATACCCACCTATAGAGACTTCAAAGTTGACAGGTTTTGAGCTGAGAGAGGAGTCCATCATAGTGGCTTCAAAGAAGGCAGCAAAGAGAAGGAATTCATCCTTTCTCCCCAACACATTCTGAGCAAGGAGACAGAAATCAGCCTGAGAGTCTTGTGTGTCAAAGCACTGCCTGAGCACCAGGGCATAACTGATGTCTGCCAGCCCTTCCACAGGACTTTAGCAGGATGCTGCTGACACCACCACTGGGCTGCCCGAAGCAGGATAAGGTTTCTTGGAAATCCTGAGGTGTTGGTGCAGAGCCATGGATTGGCTGGTGCTCATGTGAAGCCACTGAGCAGGTTGTAGGCTAAGGGATGGCTACTGCATCGACACAGCTGCCTCCCACCTTGCCTCTTTCCCTTCACAGCTGTGCATGCCAAAGACTGGCATGAATCAGCCATGTTGGCACAGGAGAACTCACCTCAGGGAGTGGATGAAGCTCTTCCACCTCCACAGTGACCTCCCTGGGCTGCTCGGCCTCCTGAGAGCTCCCAGCCTCCCCCTCTCCCTGCAGCTGGCTCAGTTCTTTAGTTTTCTCCTTGGATTTTTTACTTTTCTTCTTCAGCTTCATTTTTCTCAGGGCACCTCTCATCCTGTACCCAAGCTTCCTCTCTGCTGCACTGGGGCTGCTGAAGATCTCCACTGTGATGGCCATGAGGATGCGTCCACGGTAGAAGATGCCCTCACCCATGCCTTCATTGAGGTCTTTGTGGGCATCCCACAGAGTTGAGTTCTGGGGGGAGCCATACAGGTTCACCCAGGCTGGGCCAAATGTGGGGTTAAAGCCTGCAGAGACAGGGACAGGGTTTCATTATGCTCCAGAGTGCCACTGAAGAGAGACCTCCCCAAAAAAACTGTCCAGGACACCAGAATGTCAGCATGCTTCAGCCACTCCTGCTACCAGCCCCAGGAGACCAGCATGCCAAGCAGGAAGTGCATGGCACCGGGATGCCCAAGACATCCTGCTCCAAGACAGCCATGCCATGCCTCACCATTCCTGTCCGGGTCCGAGATCTCCTGCAGGTCAATGTAGTGTGTAGCAATGGCCACATCACCGACACTGGCATCATCCAGCACCTGGACTTTTATCTTCCTGGACAGAGGTGGGAACATCTCAATGAAACTGATCTGCTCGTTCCACTTGGGCTCAGTGGTGCTGGTCTCTACTGACGTTTCCCCCTGGGAAGGAGAAGGTGTGAAAGTGACACAGTCCCAAATGGTGCCCAGAGAAAGAGATGCCTCAGAGTTTGTCTTGGAATGGCATGCACTCTTGTACCACCTGCAGACAGTGCCAGGCAGGCTCTGGGGGTGGCAGTGTCCCTGCTCCTATCCCAGTTCCTGCAATTCCTCTCTGTTTCATTAATGGGGGGCTATCCCAAGGCCCTGGCATGACCTACACAATCAAAGGAATGCAAACGATCAGCAGACTCATAGGTATCTAAGGGTTGCCTGGAGCACTCCAGGCCCACAAGACATAATATCCATTAATATGAGAATCAATCAGGGATTGATTCTCATATTAATGGATATTATGGGACCAGAAACCCTGACCTTGTGTGCAAAAACTGGGTCATTATCTCAGTAAAGTCTCTCAAGGGTCTCAGGCTGAGTCCAGCTTGACAGAGAAAAAGGACTTCTGCTCCAGGATTTATCCCTATATTTAAGGATATGAATCTCTGCCTGCAAAGCCAGTAGCTCAGCCAGTAGCTGTGCCCAGGGCTGGGGATGTCCGATGAGCAGCTCTCTGTAGTGACAAAAGCAGAGAACAGCCTTCTCATTCAGACATTGCACAGCCATGGCCACACAGCCCAGACCACTGCTAAAGACAGCAACACCTGGGCTCTCCCAGCCTATTTTCAGTGGGATTGCTGTGCCACATGGAGGCTCCTGGCACCATGAGCCCACCGCATGCTGCCACACAGCCAAGGGAGAATCACCCTGTCCCAACATAGCTTCCCCTCAGACTCACCTGCTGCCCACAGAATGAGACCTGCACATATGGGTCGATAAATACTTTTCTCTCCCCTATGATCTTGGAGATACCACCCATGATGCCTGCTGTCATGCTGGGCAGGCCCTCAGCACAATAGAGTTTGATGCAGACCCTGGCCCAGGGTCTCTCTGCAGGGACTCTCTTAGGCAGCAGCAGATTCCTGAAAGACAAATTCATGTTCTGCCTCCCTCCTGGAGTCTACAGAACACAATGATGGGAAATTCACTGACTGGAAGAAGGATTGGATCCTGCCTCACCACAGGTCTTTTTTACTGGGTCTTTGCCCATCAGAAGAGGGGAAAATGAGGTAAAAAAGGTAGTATGAAGAGAGACATGGCAGTGCTTCCCAGAGCCGTGCAAGATCCCACTGCACTTACCTTTCAATGTCCTCATCCTTGTCCCTGGAATAGGTGGGAAGGAAACCCACAATATCCCCACGTGCAGAAACAGAGATGTTGCACTTCACAAAGCCTTTCACACCTGCCCGGGTGTCCATGGGGTCACTGATAACTGCCCACTTCTGGAAAAACCTGTGATCTGAGAGGGAAGAGGAGGAGTTCCCTAGGGAGCAGCCAGGTTACCATTTCACATTCAACTCTGTCCACACAAATACTGCCTTGGCCCTGCCAGAGACCCCACCTCTGAAGGTGCAGGAGGTGTCACCTGCCTTCAGAGAGCTGAGTGGAGAAGCAAGCTCAGATCTTCATGAAAACTAAGTGCTTTAAAGCCAGGGCCTTGACCAGACCCATCAGAGCATGAAAGAAATGCCAGTTTTAGACAGCGCCAGGGTCAGGCACAGGTATGTGGTGCAGTTCTCGTACCTGGCTGGTTGTACACTGTCTCAACATCCATCTTGAATGTTCCTATGCAAGTTCCCAGAAATGGTATCTTCTTTGAGTGAAAAACCTGCAGACAGCACAAGTCACCCTGAGTACCATGAGGTGTGGGCAGCCAGGTGATACATCCAGATATCTCTGAGGAACACAGGGCTGCCAAGAGGTGTTCCAAAGCACAGCTGAGGCAGTGGTTGCAAGCTCTTCATGCAGACTGACCCATCTGTGTTAGCCCTAGGGCTATCCCATTCCTACCCAACCACTCCCACAAAGCCCACCAGCCCACAGCCCACAGTCAAACCTAGACCAAGGCAGTCATGTGCAAACAATTCAGCTTCTGCAGTCCCAGGTAAGCCACAGCTCAGCAATGGAGTCGGGACAGATCTGTTTTCCCACAGGAAGACCTTGTGTCCATATCCTGCTGGGTTAGGGCAGAGCTGTGACCCCACCAGGCTAGCGTCTCTCCCAAAACCCAAGTCTTGCTCAGTTCTTGCTGAACTCTTGACAGCAGAAGAGACATGCAGCTTTTCACAGAGAAAGTGCTGGACACCACTTGGCAAAGGATGTGCTGGCTGGGTTTAGCTATCTTCAGAACATGCCTGTATCTTGGGAAAGTCTTTGTGCTTTGAGCCAAGGGATTTTCAACCTCTCTTCCTTCCTGGGCTTTTCTACAGCACAAATAATTTCTGAGTTGCCTCACATCAATCACTTACCTTTAGGACCTGCAGGATGAGACTCCAGGGTAAGGGGGCAGTAGGGAATTGCTGTCATACAGCAGGGCAACAAGACAAAAGGCAAGAAAGTGCCCCAGAGGCCCCACTGCAGTCACACAGTGAAGAAAAGCCCTTACCTGGAGGAGGTGGGAAGGCAACACTGCCCAGCACTGGCTCAGAGCAGGAGCTAGGTCTCTGCCCCAGTGCAGCCACAGGAAGGCCCTGTGGCTCTCTGTGGGCAGGTGATTCCAGCTGGAACACCTCAATGGTATTGGTAGCCTTGCTTTGCCCATTGCACCTAGTGTCTACACACAGAAACATCAAGCTGTACCACTAACAAGTGAAAGATGAAGATGAAGACATACATACCGAGATCTCTATGAGTCTGTGCAATAAAATGTCCCTTGGCTCATAGAAGTCAAACAAAAAATACTGGAAGAGAAGAGCAAGACAGCTGAGCCCCAGGCTTCCAGGTGTCCCTTGCAAGCATGGTCCCAGGCACTCGGGACACTGGTGGGGCAAGGACAGAGCCTCTGTCCATACACATACTTCGTTGTAGAAGGGGCAGTTTGTTGACTTCTGTGTTGCTGTGTGCCTCTTTTCTTCTCCCACCTTGACTACAACAAAGGGGTTGATGTTCACCCCCACCAACTTCTGTGCTTCAATTACATTAATCCCAACCTGAGAAAATATGGGAGAAAACCAGCACTCTCCTTGTCTGAATCAGCACTCTCCTTGTTTACACCTCCATCCTGAGAATGTTTCAAGATACCAGTATGCACATGTACAGGGCAGTCTCAATGCAGAGCTCGACACCTAGGGCAGGCAAAAGCATGGCTGCTGAAATCTGCTACAGCCAGGACAGATCAAAGTAGTATTTGAGATACTTGTTTCTTTCAGACAAGCAAGGAAATAAAGTGTAAGAGCCCCAGTACTTTTGACAAGAGCTGACCTTCTCAGCAGCACTTGTACTCTCAGTTTCTGATCCCAAGGGGTTGAAAACCCACTGCTCCCACATGCGAGGTTCCACAGAGCTTTTTGTGTCTTCTGTTAATACTCCTCTTTGAATCCTACTGAGATGGACCCCATTGGAAAGACTGGAATGCAGCTGCTTACAATTTACTTACGTTTACTGCAACTGCTTATGAGTCTAAGATATAAAAGAAATGTTCTCACATTTGTTCTCAGTAAAAGCAATTAGGCCATGGTTAAGGTACAGAATGATTGCTTCAAGAGAATGATGGTAGGAAATTCAACCCTCACAAATGTGAGTCCATGTTTACTTAGAACCAGAGAAGGATTTAAATCCATAGCCATCCTGGGAGACTTTCCCTGAAATCAATTCAGCCTGATGTGAGCTAATCAGCCAGAGCCACCACTTCCTAGCAGCCTCCTGGCATGTCCAAGCAAGCCCCCACATAGCCCTCTGGCCCTGGTCATGTCCCACAGCTGTCCCTAAGGAAGACAAAGAAGACCCTGGGAAAGCTGGCAGGCACCAGCCCTGCCTGGGTACACTCTGAAGCTCTGCTCAGGCAGTGTTTTGCAATGGCACATGTAGCTGATTCCCTTCTCCTGCTTATCGATATCTACATGGGCTTACTGATACTGTGGCCAGCACTCATGGATGCAGTTCATTCAGGGAATCTTACATCTTGTCCAGGGAAGTCACACAAAGCATGATGGTCTTCATGCTAGAGGCCTTGACAGAGTATGTGGCAATTGGAGAAGCCCAGGCCTTCAGCAAGGTACTAAGGGACTGGCTGGGAGGCCAGAGGCAGCTATGGGGACATGCACCCAGTGCTGCAGTACCTGGAAACTCTGTGGTGTTGGAATGGCAAAGAGGTCCCGTGCAGAGCAGAGTCTGGAGCGGCTGCACAGAAAAAAAGCCCAAGTGAGCAGGTGTCCTTGTCTACATAGACCTGAGTAAGTCCCCACCAAGGGAAGCAACAAAAAACCTCACAAATAATGGCCCATCACCTTGGGAATGAGCAAATCCCCAGCACACCCTGTCTAGGGCCTTTAGAGATGGAAGTTTTCTGACATTTTGCCAAAGCAGACTGTCATGAGCTGCAGGAATTCCCCAGGATATGGCACTTTCTAAACCAGGACCTAAGCAAGGGTAAGAAAGAAGACCATGCCATGGATACCTCTTCACAGGGCTGAAGATGATGCCCGAAGCCTCAGTCTCAGATGTATCATAGAAATCTTCCTCCTCTTCCTCTTCTTCCTCAGTCTCCAGACCTTTTGCCAGCTTCCTGCCTAGTGCAGCAGCCTCCTTGTCCAGTTCCTTCGCTCTCAGACACTCGGCAGTCCTGCAAGCCCCACCACATGCCATGAGCCATACGTTAGCCATCACAAGTGGGCCGTGCACTGCCTTCCACCCAGGAGGGTGAGCCAAAACATTCAAGGGCTACTTACTCCAGCTGCTCAAATCCAGGATTGTGGATGATTAACTCTGAACTGTAAAAAACAAAATATGTTTTTCTCTAAAGACCAGTGTGCCATGACTGTTCCCTGATGCATTTAAGGAACAGTGCCCCAGACACTCACCTGTTTATTTCTTGGCAGGGACACCAGCAATTTTTTCCTAAGCTAATCCACTGTCCACCCCATGTGTCTGCTGTTTTCCATCTAGTTCCACAAGTGACACTCTGCAGGCCTTGCTGCTGCCTGTCATCCTGTCTGCCCAGAAACCTACAACTCCCCTGGCTTTGGGCACTACTAGCGTGCAGGGTGCATGGAGTTGCTGGAGGCCAGCAACTTTGCAACCACAAGCCAGGAGGGCTGCAGAAATGCTCTCAAAGCTCTCCTAGGGAGTCCCAGGACTCCCAGCACCTACAGTGGATCATTGCAGTCAAAGGCTCATTGTGATAACAAGGTGTCTCTTTATCCAAGAGCCCCATTCCCTTATTGCTGCTGTAGAGTTGAGACACATCAGCCTGGCAAGAAGTGGAGAGTAAATAAGGCTGGATTGCGTCCCAAAGGATGCCACTGACAAAGGCAGCTGTACAAACTGCCTGGAAATTAGCTGTTCCTAGGATTTCCATACCTGTCTTTCATAAGATAGACAAAATCCTCTTCAACCCAGCTCCCCGCTGAGCTATTTGGAGGCTGGTAGCGCAAATCCAACTCAATGTAGATCTATAAAGTAGAAAGTGAAAGGGCCTGAGAGTTTGATAGCCACAAAACAATGGCAAAAATGTCACAAAAAAGATAAAGGGGGACATGGAAGAAAAGAGGAAGTGAGAAGCTAGTGGAAAGATGCAAAAGAAAAGTGGTCATGTCCCCACAAGAAGCATGTTTATACCAGACTCCCATTGTCTGTCTCCATCAACAAACTAGACGTAACAAAACTCCCCCCTCCACAGCTTCTTTAACTCGTTTCATTGAATAAAAACTGCCTCAACTTTACAAATCTACCATAAAGAGGCCCTGAGAATAGCCTTGAGGCATTTTTGACAAGGGAACTGGGGAGAGTCCTGCACAATAACATGTAGGATTTGGAGCAGTCTCTCTCTGGAGGAGGCACAAGACAGCTGGCAGAGGATCCCTGGGAAGGACAGCTTGGATTAAAATACTGGAGAAACCACCAGCACATTGAGAGCCTGCATCACAAGAGACGTACAGAGCATGCTGGGTATTGGCACAGCCAACACAGGTCTGAACACCCTTGTCTGCAGGTGGCCAGCCTGATCTCAAACCAACATAAACACAAATGATTTCCCAGCAGAGGCCAAAAACACCAGCATGGAGGAGATCACTCCTTAGCAGGCTGAAAGGGATGTACTCTGGATTCAGAGCCCAATCCCTGAAAAATACATATTTCTGGGAAAAGAAATGCAGCCCAAGAAATCAGCAGTATGGTGATTAGGAAAGGCAGCAGCAAAGGCTGGAGGGTGAAGAAGCCTGAGATGAAGCTGGATGAAAAGCTAAGGCCCTAAAAGCACGCCTTCAAATCATCAGGAGAAGAAGGGGTGCTCTATTCCCAGAGGAGAACAGGATTTGGACTAGCAGGAAGTCTAATGGCTTTATTCCCAGTTTTCTAAAGGAGCAGACTCTCTCTTGGGGCCATGTCTCTTCCAAGCTGACCTGAGAGGGTCCCAGGCTGCTCTTGGATGAGCAGTCTTTCCTGCCCTATTTCTATCCCCTGCAGCTGTTGTGCAGCCAGGGTTGCACAATCCAAAACTAACCCAGCAAAACTGAATGCGGTTGGGTTTTGGTTGGAGCAGCTCATCAGCACATGTGTTGCTGTTAGCGCAAGGAAAGAGGCACCCAGGGCTAAGGGCTGGTCAGTGTACCTCTGACCTTATACAATGAAGTCCCTTCAAATCATCACCAGCACCAAGAGGTGAGTCTAATCCCTGTCTCTTTGCTGGCAGGAACATTTATCCAGTGAGCTGCATGGGCTAAAAATCATCCTGGAAGTGGTCAATTTCTACCTGGACCTGCTCCATGATCCAGAAGTCCAGTAACACCAGCAACCTGTGCCTGTGCCACTCAGGCTGGTGGTCTAGTGGCCACAGAGCTTGCATACCATGTGCCACCATGTGGTTTAGTCATATTGCCTGTGTCAAGAGTAAACACATATGCAGCACCTTGCAGGACTGCTGCCTCTGCTCTTCCTGCAGCCTGCCAGCTGCCCTGACACAGGTCTGGCAGTCTGGAACCCATTGAGCTGTGCCTGCACACCCAGCTAGCAGGCAACAACTCATTTTAGGGTGGTGTTAATCTTCTACAAGTGCAAAGGACCGACTGAGCCCCAGTGCCAGGGCTGGAGGAGAGCAGGACCTGCAGAGCAGAGGGGCAGTCAGGTGTCAGCGACACTCATGCCCAGACACTCATTAAGCCATCCAGTTAGTGCTAGTGTTTAACCCAAAAGCTTACTGGGAGTTTCAAGGCACCCTACCACCTTCCACCTCGCTCCATCACTGCAGCAGCCCATACACATGCACTTCATGGTGCATGAAGCAGAGGAGATGCCACTTCCTACATCCATTTCCCAGACTTGAGAAGGTTTTACAAAGCCTCCCTCTGTTCATTCAGGCCCTTGGCAGTTCTCCAGCAGCCCTAGCCCAGCCCATGCATTTGTAGATGCTCCTAGAAACCTCTTGGTGGATGTGAAGTGTCTGTGCACAGATTGCACAAATGCCACAGTGCTTACAGTTCAAACAGCATTTTGGATTCCCCCTCAGTCCCCAGTCCACCTGAAGAGTACTACATGAAGTTTCCCAAAAAGCCTTACTGATTGCTGATAGCCAGGCTGTCCATTGTGGACTTACATCAGTGACTCTGTTGCTCTTGTCCACAAGGGACTCACGCAGGATTAGCCTTCCAGATGTCATCAGGTGCTGAAGGCTGAGGACAAGGGTACCAAGCAGCCTGGTGAAAGGAATGAGGGATTTTTCTTTACAAACAAACTGTGGGTTTGCTGGTAGATAAAACTAGTACTGAGAGATAAAAGAACCAATGGGAAGGATTCCACTGATTGATGAATGGAATGAGAGATTTGTCTTTACAAACAGTGAGTCTGCTGATAAATAAAGTTAGATACAGAGAGATAAAAGAAGAACCATACATTCCATAGAAATTCCATTGACTGATACAAAGGGGGAAAAAAAGGCAGGGAGGGGGTATACAGATTACAAGGGAGTCTTTGGTATCAGGCATTTCGGGAAGTCTGTACCTCTCAAGTACATCAGCCAATGGGGAAAGAGAGGGAAATGTGGCCAGGAAATCAGGATAAAAAGGAGGCTGCATTCTCTAACAATTAGAGAGACACCATGGAAAATGCCCATAACCTCTCCCTTTATTCAAATAAAGTTACAGGACCCCTCTGTCTTCTTTTTGGACAAAAATCTCTGGTGTTTGTGGATTAATTTTCCTAACACTGGAATAAAAAGAGAGACTGCAACAACACTGTACATAGCATCAGTGCCTATATCCTGGGGAGTACTGGGACCTCTACTCTGCCGCTCACAGCCCCTCTGAGCTGCCCTGAAGTGTTTTCCATAGGGAGTCTGGCAGCTGAATACTTGAGACCGACCCTGCAGCAGGTCCTGCCTTTTCCCCAGTCATGTCCAGATAGCTACTTGCAACTGAGCTGGCACTAATGGTGAAAGGTTTGTGCAGATCCAGACTCATGGAGTGCAAAGGAGATCTCCCCTTCAGCAGAGTTGGGCTTCACAGGAGCTAGTCTGTGTCTGGGCACCCAGCAGAGCTGGGGGGACATTTCTAGAAAAAAAAAAAACAACTGGGAAACAGAAGCTTTACACAAGAAAATATAGAACTAGGACATAAAGCTATGACCACCAGAACGTCTGCAGCAAGTTAAGGCAGAATTTATCTACGCCAAAGTGGCTTCTCCCTGGAGAACGGTTATCCCTGCAAGTGGCAGTAAGGTATGCAGGACAGCATTTGCCAGTCCTAACCCTGGCTTGTGTGTCACTGTCTGCACCCATGTGTACGTGGACCTCCATCTCCTCATGGCATCTCTCTGGCAGCCAAGCTAAGCCGTGCATGAAGCAGAGCTTCCCAATGCCAGCTGGGAGCCACCACTGGAAGAGCCTACCCAGGACTCAGACAAGAGGAACTGCTCCCCACACGTCTCAATTTCAGCTGTGAGCTACTGATCTCTTGCATTCCTTCTCACCTCCCTTTTCTCTGAGACACAGAGCCTGTCTAACTTCCTATCCCCAAAGAAGGAGTCTGTCTGCTCATTCTCCTCCTTTCCAGCTTTGCCGGCTTGTTGCTGCTGGCACATGAAGGATGCACACACAGAAGTTCAGAGACCATAAACAGATACAGCAGTGTAACAAATTTTTCCCTTCTTTATATTTAATTTTGACCATCCCAGTGCACAAACCAACCACTTTTGAATTGTACTGTTTGTCACCTGCTATTATGCTGCTTCCCAGCAGTGGAGGTGTGTGGATATAGTGTCAATCCACTCATTTCCCACTGGACTCCTTTGCTTCAGGCTGTCAGGTCCTACTGTTTTGTTAGTTTGTGGTATCTCTTTGTCCTGCAGCAGTTTCTATTGACATTTCAGTCAGAGACAATTCCTCTGATCCAGCTCCCATATGAAAAGCATCCAGGAAACAGTGACACAACATTCTGCCATATTTTCTGCTGTGTTTTGCATGTATTGTGCTCATCTGTTTTCTCCATGCCCTCTCTGGCACCTTTGAAAGCGTTTGCATTATTAGCTGTATACAAATTTATTATGTTTTCATTATTAGCTGATGCATTTTTCTTCAGTTCTTAAATTTTGCTTATCAGAGCTGGCACCTTTCCCTGCATCTTCATGTTTCATATGTCCTGAAGGACATGCCTCTGCTGCCTTTCTTGCTCCACTACTCAATCTGTCATCCCTATTCTTGGGTTTCGCTGCAGTGTTTTACAACTGTTGGAATAGCTACTGAGTTCACAATGTTATGCCTGTGCCACCTAGAAGCATTTTAATTTCTGTCTGATCTTTTACATTGAAATTGCTGTCTTATTAAAGGTTAAACTATAACACAATGCATTCAGGGCTTTTCTTCACCAACAGATACGTTGAATTTGGGTGCAGCATGGTCACAGTCACCACAAGGCTGTTCAGGATGACAGCAGGTCCTCAGTCCACAGCAAGACCTGCCTTTGTAGCTGTTTTTTAGGGCATTGTTTAACCTTTGTCCCAGTTGAGGGTCTGATCTGGATCCTTACATAGTCCCTGTTACTGCTGGCACAGCTAAATCATTCTTCTTATTTAACTTAATATATACAGTGTTGCTGCCCCACCAGAACAACCAACTCCATTCTTCCTCTGTAAGTGGCATTCTGCTCATCTTCTTTTCATCAAATAATCAATAAACATTTTCTACTGCAAGTAGACAATGTAAAGACCAGTATGTCTTCTCCCCCACCTCTACTGGTCACCCCAACAATCAAAGGACCCACCTGTTACTGAAAACCTTGCTGCAGTTGTAAACTTTAATGGACAGCACTTCACCCATTACAAGCTTCCCATAGTGCGGCCAATGAAAGAGCTGCAAAAAAATGGAGCAGGAAGGGATGACAACTCATTCTCAGCCACACTTTCCCATGTCTCATGGTTGGTTGGCTCCCTGTGAGGTGACCAAGTCCATGGACATAATGAAAAGCATCTGTGATGGGAAGTTACTTTCCTGCTGACCAGGCATAGAGCCCCTGCAGCAGCACAGAGCCACAGGTCAGCTGCTACAGAAGTCAGAGTTGCACCACCCTGGAAAAGGATTCTTATGTCTGCTGGAGTCCCTGAGCTGGCAGGTTGTGGAGTGAGACAGAACATGGGAATGTACAGCGGTGCTTGGGGAGAAGTGATCACTCAGGCGGGGAGTCATCTGGCTTAGAGAAAAGCTGCACTCTGAGGCTTCAACTCGCCACACATCCACAACAGTGGCTGTGCCTCCTGCTCCCCGCCACCTCCCCCCCAGGCAGCACATTGGCATTGGGACTTGAGCACGGGACAGGTGGGAACCACCCACTGGCACAGCACAGGTGGGCTGTCACAGGCTTCTGTGGGGATGGCACTAGAGACAGGAACATGCTTTCCAGGTCACCCCCATCCCTGCTCCTGCACACACACACATATACACACATATACACACTCAAACACAAGTCCCACTCCTGTCCCCACAAGGTATCAACTAGAGTGACAATCTGGCTTGCTGAGGGCAAGGGGAGCTTTGCCTTCAGCTTTGATGTGCCCGGGCTTCCAAGCAGTGTCACTCAGTTGAATTTCAGTTCCTGGAGCTTGTATGCGTAGGTCACATACACAGTGTGAGGGACCCATCTGCCCCTCTGAGCAGAGCAGAAGGAGACAGCAGAGAAATTCCCAGAAAACTGTCTAGTGTAAGGTGGCCCTGTCCCTGGTGTGGGGGTTGGAATGAGATGATCTTCAGGGTCCCTTCCAAGGCAAACCAATCTATGATTTTATGACCAAGACACTGACCTGTCCCATCCCAGTCCCACATGTTCCACATGATCCCAGTTTCCTCACCTCCTTGAAGATGGCCTCTGGGCCACAGCAGACCTTTCTTGTCTTCTGGGTGAAGCCTTGAGAAGTAGAGAGGAGGTGTAAGGTGGCTGGCAGGGGAAGGCAGCCCCCAGCTCTAAATCCCCAAACCCCCACCCTCCTGGCCACCTGGAGCCCACCTCGGAAGCTGAGATGGACCTGCCGCTCGCCATGGCCCGGCAGCTGGGAGAGCCGCCGGACACCGACGCTGAGCGCCATGGAGCTCGTGGTGGGCCCTGGTGCCTCTCGCTCAGCCGTGCAACGCCCAGAGTGACTCAACCCCAACTCACCCAGCCGGTCTGGCCAGACACTCCACACCCCAGTGGCCCATGGGTTGGGCAGCCCCTGCTGAGGGACACAGAGAGGAGGGGGAAGACCTGGCTGTACTGCCTCCCTCCCTCAACACACGGCACTGGGCTGAACCCCCTGGAATGCACCTCTGCTGACTGAGAGAGCTCTGGGCTGCAGGGGACCCCCGGGGAGCACTGCAGGAAATGGTAGAAGTAAGCCCATCACATGGCCATGCTTCAGCTGGTACTTGGAAGGACGTGGGCTGCTGAATTCAGAACTGAGAGACACCAGCTTCGAATACAGAGCCTGGCTCTGCTTTCAGCTCCAGCCCTGCACCTTCCCCAGCACAAAATCACAGGTCCTGTGGCTTAAACCCTCCAAAACAAACAGAGCGAGTGTGGGAAAGGGCAGCTCAGATTGTGAGGGTTAGGCTCCTCTGACATGCTCAGCAGCCTCCTGAGCAGGAGTCTGAGGTGGAGGTAGGATGCCAGAGTACTTTGGGACAGCAGCTGCCAGATTTCTGCAGAGCAGAGACAAGCATCAAAATCCACAGGCAGTGGGACATGAGCTTCAGCTGCTCCGCAGGGTGCTGGCAAACTCACAGGGAGGGGTAGGAGGGAGACCTGGGGCACATGGTGCCAGAAGCTGGCTGTGCTCCCTGCTGCAGCCCTGGGGCCTAATCCAGCTCATCCTATTTACTAGAGAGCTGACAGAGATGTCAGAGCTCTTTCAAAGCACAAATTCAGACCAGATTAAAGCAAAGAAACTATGCTTACATAGCATAGTTTCTATTTTAACATTATGTTATGGAACAATCATGAGCTGAGCAGATTTTGGAGAGCATTTCTTCCTCCTGAGGGTCTGGTTCTCCCTCTCAACACCCAGCACCAAACACTTGTGATTGGAAAGATGTGTGCTAGTGTCTTTACAAAGAATTTGATGAGTGTATGGGTGTTAGCTTGAAATGGGTCTTAATGTCTCTACTAACTTTGGGCAGTAGGTTTGTTGCAGACTCCAGACAATTTGGCTCCCGAAACAGACAGCTGGGTCTACACAAGCCTGAACTTCTGAACTTTGCTGTAAAATGACAGGTTCAAGGGGGAATACGGGGTAGGCGGTTCAGGAGGGCTGTACCTTCCTGGTACCTCATCCAATGGGCAAAGGAAAAGGGCAATATGTGGCCGGGAGTTTAGGATAAAAGGAGGCTGCAGCCTGCAAATCCTCAAGAGAGAGAAGTGGACTCTCTCCCTTTATTCAAATAAAGTTTCAGGACTCTTCTGTCTCCTCTGTGGGCACTAGCTTTTCATAGCGTGATTTTCCATACACCTCCATCCATACATGCTGTACAGAGTGCATTGCAGCAGGCTAGAGTGGCTTATTCAGCTCTACAAACACCAAGGAGTGAATCATACCTGTGTAATGCCAGTTGCTTCGAAGCAAGCCCTGCAGATATTCCCTTTATTCCCCTTTTTCACAGGCTCTTCCAGGACCACCTGAAAAGCGGTGCTGGGGGTGGTGGAAGCATGCTGTGGTAGGAAGTTGCAGTTTTACCACTGTCCTAGCTACAGAAGTATTCTACCCCCCTCTGCTTCATTTCTGATGAACTGTTGATGATGGATTTGCAGGAACTGCTCAGTGCACACCCAACCCCTCAGGCCTATGAGCCGGGGGTTAAATAAGGAGAGGCAAACTCTTCAACACAGGGCAGAGTTCCTTTTTCTTCACACCAATGACTCAGCTGTGATAACTCCCACCAAGGAAGCACCAGCACAGTCACACCCAGCCTGAGGGGTCATCTCTGCTAATGGGTCATAAAGGACTCAATGGGACAGGAGAATGGGCAGCTGTAACACTTAAACTATCAAGGACTCAAAATATCCCATGACTCACAGTGTTACCTCCTGAATTATGAAACTCTCTACCCTGAGGGAGGTACTGAGCATCCTCACCTGAACCTGAAAGGAATGAGAGGGATGTGTTTTTACAAACTGTGGGCCTGTTTGTAGATAAGGCCAGATGCTATAGGTGAAAAAAACAATGGGAAGAAGCATAAATTCCAGAAGAATTCCACCAATTGACACTGTTGCTCACCCAAGGTTTTGCTCAATTCTTGAGCTTAGAGAAACAGAATAGAGATACAAAGAAAAGAGGGGTGTGGGGGCTTGGGGTTGTGTGGTGTGCACATTGGAAGGGGGCCTGTATTAGGCCATTAGGGAAGTCTGTACTTCTCAAGTACCTCAGCCAATGGGAAAAGTGAGAGGGAAAATTGGCTGGGAAATTAGCATAAATAGGAGACTGCATCCTCCACCATTTTGAGAAACCCTATGGAAAATGCCCATGGTCTCCCCTTTCATTCATGAATAAAGCTGCAGGACTCCTCTGTTTCCTTTTTGGACATAAACCTCTGGCATTGTGGATTTATTTTCCTAACAAACACGAGTGTATAAAATCTTTAGGCCTGGGGACTTCTGGTGTTATGAATAAAAAGTTATCTTTTTTTTTTTTTAAGGTTGCAGAGTTAAAACTAGTTAGACCAGTCCACCACTTGATAGATTTGGAGAAGGACCAGAACTTCGACAGGACTAGTACCATCACCCTGACCAACAGGGTGCCAGGTTGTATTCAGATGTTGTGGGTTAAAACCAGTTTTCTCTGTATTATCATACTTATCATAATATATTTAATAAATTTTAACTCTGACCTGTAATCTCTCTTGAGGTTTTTGAGTGGGGTTTATTTCACACACCAGTTTACTTTCAAACCAGCATGACCATGCAACAACAAAACATAGCAGACTTGACAGCATTTGGCACCACTTTTGTGAACCCAAGTAAGTGAGCTCATCAGTGTAAAACAGTCAGAAAGCTCAATGTGCTGCCCCCACATCCAGTTGTTATAGATAGCAACCAGATAAGGCCGAATCAATAATTTGATAAAGCCAGATTAAAATTCAAAGAAGATAGATTTTATTTCGTGAATTGAAATACAATCTTTGACATCCACAATCAAAGGGACAGCTTTGATACTGGGTGAACACAGATCTGACCCCCTCTCGCATCAGACCTATCGAGTTCACAAAGTCCGTTCTGTGAGCCTTGGTTATATACTGTTTTTCTTGCCCAGAGCAAAGTTTCTTCTGTTCTATTCGTTTTCCTGAATATTCATGTAGTTCTATGTCCTCTGTCCAGTGTTGGAGGAATCCTGTCTCCTGGTCGGACAAAGCTGTCTTTGGGAAAACAATATAGAGTCCAGGAACAGATACATGTAAATTCCAAGTTATGGGAACTAGTCATTCAGATGTGAGTTCTGGGCTATCCTCAGTTATCTAGGGTCTGTTGGCCAATGATGGTTTGGGTGTTCCAAGACTCGCCCAGAGTTTCTGCAGGAGCTAGCTCCTTCACTTAGGAGCTACTTAGGACGTCTATTCAGTGACCACTTGTGTTTTCACAATCCAGTGAGGTAATCTCTTTCCCAACCCCTGTGTAAGACTTCTAAACCTTAGTGCTTTTTATAACAGATAATCTACAAGCATGATTTATTATATATATCTCTATGAGCATGAATTTATACTAATATTTATCACACAGTCATTGATAGAGTAGAGTGAGGAGTGCAACTTAGGCAGTTTAATGAGACATCCAGACCATCAAATTATGTTGCTGCTGAGTGGATCCAGCACTTGCTCAAAGCTGGTCAGTAGACAGCACCTCTCTTTGGAGTTTCTGTGGCTTCTTCAAACACCTCAAGCAGTCTCATTACTCCACCCACCTGAAGACAGTGCCCTATTTTTAGCAAAACTGTCCCCTGCGTATTTTAGACCTCAGGGAGGGCCATTAACCCAACCAGTTATTCCAGGCAAAAAAGGCATTATCTCCCACTGCCTGCTGGGTAGTGTGGCATAGCCTGGCATGAAATGTCACCACTATTTATTGCCACATGTCCAGGAAGCAAAAGGAACCCTCCCCACTGAGCTCCCACATGCAACAGCTTTTGATTTTTTCAAAGCCCCGAGGCTGAAATACCTTTGGGCATCACAAATATAAAGGTGCTTGTTTAATCTTGGTGAGGGTAAAAAGACTTCTGGGGTGTTCTCTCTGCTCACCGGGAAGATAAATCAAGCCAGTGACTGGGGGATACAGAGAGTTTGCACAACACATTGTCCTGAGGAAAATAACCGGACCTCTCCTCTAACCTGACAGCGATGCCATCAATCTGCATTCCAGCTATACCCAGGGCAGCATGTGGCAGGAAACAGACTACCATTCTTCCACCAAAGTACCCAGCAGCTGTCTGCACTTCCTCTAAAACCTGGAGCCCTGAGGAGAGTAAAAGACAGAAAACAGGCAAAATTTTGCCATCCTAAGTCAGTAGCTTCTAAATTTAGCTTCCCATGGCTTTTCACATGGGCCCACACCCATGCAGCTCCTCCTCCTAAGTTACAACTACAGGACTTCTGTCCCTTTTCTTGCTTACATTTCAGCCACTTACCTGTGGGTAAAGGGCATCTCCTTCAAATTCTGGTCTGCTTCCACAGTGGGAAGAACTTCCTCAGACTTGCCTCTACAACTTCTTGACCTCTTCCTCCCCAAACCAGGAAAGGTCTCTTCTACCATAAATGAGACCTATGCCTGGAGATACCTCAGCTTGCTGAAAAACAGTGACTTTGTTATGAGTAGAAAAGTTATTTTTTTTAAGTTGCAGAGTTAACAAGTTAAACCAATTGCTGTTGTTAATAACCTCATGTTGTAATCACCTGTTGTTAATAGTTTTCTTCAACTACCTGTTAATGGTTAGAAATCAGCTCAAATGTGCCTGACACCTGAAAGCTGCAGGTAGTGGAGGTGGGGGGGGGGGGGGGGGTAGGCGGGATCGGAGGGGACTTCAGGTGGGGGGGGGAGGTGACGTCAGTGCTGGTATGCAAATGAGGAAGCCCCTCACCAAA